ATTATTATTATTATTACATTTATTCTTTTACTCTATTATTACTTTTGTAATTTTACTCTGTTATTGTTATTATTACATTTCCATTATTTTACTCTATTATTGTTATTTTTATTACATTTATTATTTTACTCTATTATTACAGGAAGGATATCACGCACATTTACATTGAAGAAGGTTAGAATAATGGTTTAATCAGAGTTGGACAGTCCTATCTTAAATTACAGTTTTATGTAAATATTCAAACATATTTCACCTACTGATGCCTCAATTAATGTAATTGTATAGGTATCTATTTTTATTTGGAAATTTACCAGTAGCTGCTGCATTTCCCACCCTCGGCTTATACTTGAGTCAATAAATTTTCCTTGTTTTTTATGGTAAAATTAGGTGCCTTGGCTTATATTTGGGCTGGCTTATAGTCAAGTATATACGGTAGTTGACTATTTTAACCCCCTGAAGAAATTGTTTGTCGGGGGTGGGGGGGGGGGAGTAACCAATTATTTTAAAATGTTCTGGGCTGTAATGGAACACAAAAAACACAGACAGACATAAAAAGATGGTCTAATTCCTTAAGACTCAGAAGAGTATAAAATGTAAGTCCCATTCATTCCAGGAACTATGAGAAGCTAGTACAAGTCAGCCCTTTGCATTCGCTGGAGTTAGGGGCACATGACCCCCATGAAGTGAATGAAGAAGTTCCTACTTTCTTCTTTTAAGTAAAAGAAACACCTAGCTGGAAATTTCTAGGTCTTCCAGTATGATATGGTGAACTTCTGGTGAAAATTGTCTATAGTTTCTCACTAGAGGATCTAGACCAGTGGTTCTCAGCCTGTGGGTCCTCAAGTGTTTTGACCTACAACTCCTAGAAATCCCAGCCAGTTTACCAGCTTGTTAGGATTTCTGGGAGTTAAAGGCCAAAACATCTGGGGACCCACAGGTTGAGAACCACCGATCTAGATATTTTTATCCAATCTGTGATTAATCAAATCCACAGAAGTCAAATCTGCAGATATAGAGGGATGACTGTAATTGCTTTGGGAGAGGTACAGAAAGTGGCTTGGAGTGGAAGAGAGTGTTTCCTAAAATAGATGCAATTTTTTTTCATTTTCAGTTTTGACAGACATTCTTTTATTTTCAATATCAGGGGAATCTTCATCAGCATCTGAAATTGCCGGATCACAAATTGGCCCTTCTGCAAACTTGTCAGGAGCCGTCCAACCTCCAGCTCCAATGCCAAGAAAGTCTCAGATAGTAAGTAGTGAAATAATTGACACCAGTTTTTTATAAAGTTGTATTTGGCAGCTCTTCACTTTCCCAGTCATGTAAAGTATGATAATTCTGAACTAGGGATGAGGGGAAGTCTGATTCTCTTGGTCCACTTTTGGTCTTCATTGCCTGCTGTTGAATATGAGATTGGATTATAACAAAGAAATGAAAAAATAAAACTAAAATGAAAATAGGATGGGCCTTATGGCATTGCTCATTTTCACAGAAATCACATGTATATCTGGGACGATTTCCAGAAAACTGTGTTGAGTGATTGTGGGTGTTTTGTAGCTATAAATCACAGCCAGTGTTTGTTAGAAAAGCTGTGAAAATCTAGCCTACGCAATTGCTTTTAGCTACTTGAATATTGGACCCATTTAAGTAATCTAGTTAACAGTATGAATGGGGTGGGCAGGGAAACAAAATATACAGCAAGCTAAATAGCTTACGTTTAGTAAAAGGTTCTAAGTAAATCATCTTAGGAGCTTTGGATTGAGAGGACATTAGCTAAATGAAGTGTCAGCTGAGCAACTCCGCTGTTTTCGTTCCTTTCACAAGATAGTCTTGATACTGAAGCAGTGTCTCCAGTTTAGACAAAAGATGGCAGATTTGGGGACGGAAATGGGTTATTCAATTAGGTTTTTTTTTTTTATAGGAGGGGTGAACTAACCTTTCGGTCATAACTATAAATATCTAGCATTTTGTTCTGTAGATTCTGCACTGTAGTATTTTAAACAGTCTGGAAAGCTGTCTAACAAAGTATAGAAACAAAGCTTGGAAGTAATGTATTAGAAGGAATTGTGTTCCTCTATCAGCTCCCTAGTAGTGCAGCAGGTTAAACCACTGAGCTGCTGAATTTGCTGACCTAAAGGTTGGCGGTTCGAATCCAGGGGGCGGGTTGAGCTCCCAGTGTTAGCTCCAGCTTCTGCCAACCTAGCAGTTTGAAAACATGCAAGTGTGAGACTTTTGCGGGAAGAAGGCGCTCCATGCAGTCATGCTGGCCTCATGACCTAGGAGCTGTCTATGGACAACACTGGCTCTTCGGCTTAGAAATGGAGACACCATCCCCCAGATTTGGATACGACTAGACTTAATGTCAGGAGAAACCTTTACCTTTACCTTTACCTTATGTTGCTCTATATTAGGTCTGCACAACATGTGGCCTGCTAAAGCTTAAAAATGACTTAAGAGTGGTTGGTGTAGACAGTCTCTAAATTTTGGGAACTAATTTGCATTGGCACAACAATTTTTATATACTGTATTTCACACATAGTAGTTGCCACCGTGCAATATTCGCATGCCCATTTGGGGGTGGCAAAATTGGTATTTTTGTGTTCTTCGCATAATAGTCGCACTGCTGTTTGGGGCTGATTCCCCCTCCCTTCCTTCCAAGGCAGTTTAAGAAAGCTGAAATGGATGACTCTTGAACTCAGATTGTCCCTCCTTCCTCTTTTCCTCAGCAAGCTCCATTTCAGATTTTATAGACCACTTTACCTTTGGAGAAGAAGGAAGAAAGGAAGGAGGAATCTTCCCTCCTCTTTCCTTTCTCAGAAGCAAAGCAATTTTTTAAAAAAAGCAAACAAAGAGATTTGTTTGTTTGTGACTGGATCACTCTTCTCCTGTTTCAGAGGTAAAGCAGTTATAAAAAGCAGGATAAAAAGTGAAATGGTTATATTTATTAAATGTGGTATCTGTGAAGAAGGCATTAATTCCTTCCCAGTTCCCACTCTTTCTTGCACAGGAGTAGCCCTTGGCTACCAGTCATTATAGGCCAAGAGTGGGCATCAGGCAGCCATCTAGATGTGGAACTACAGCTCACTATTTGTTATGAGGGACCATAATGATATAACTAAGTGAAGGCAACTCCTGCCTGAACATCGTGAATGCAAAGTGCCCTACGCCTCTCACTGAAGTCAACCATGCTTCTGTTTTCTGCATATTATTCATCTGATCTTGTTTTTGCTTCTCTTTCAGTCAAAAACAAAACCCAAGAGAGTAAAAGCAATTTATAACTGTGTGGCAGATAATCCAGATGAACTAACCTTTTCAGAGGGTGATATCATCATAGTTGATGGCGAGGAAGATCAGGAGTGGTGGGTAAGTATGTTGAAGGCTTTAGGGCATGTTGGTGTGTATTCCATAAACCAAGAGGTATGACAAACTCTCATATTACTTTTCAAGAAGTAATATGAGGAAAAATGGAAAGGTAAAAGAAAGCCTGGCCTTTTAGCTACTTGAGGACCTTCAGCCAGAGGTTTCCAAGAAAACATATTTTGCTTTACTGCAGCTTATATCTGTTGGGTGAGTGGGCTTATTGACAAAAGACCCTTCTCATAAATGTACAACAGAGTAACTTAGCAGCAGCAGTGTGTGACCCATCACCAATAGCCCAAAGTGATAAAAAGAACAAAAACACACAGACCAATGTTATCTCTTCCATAGGAGGCTTTTCTTTATAGCAAAATAATATGGTTGTACTATTTACAAGAACAAGGTTTCCATAACATAAAGTTCTTTATACTTTCTTCTTTGCTTCTTTCTCATGCAGATAAACACTCTCACAGAGCCTCTTCTCATACCAAAGTTAAACAGGAGCTTTACACAGTAGCCTTTTACGCACAACAGCCTTCACACTGGAGCTTGATACACGTGGCCTTCAACCTGGGGCTTCTCTTACTGAAGCCTTCTCACACCAGGCCTCTCTAACTCTGAGGCCTACCTCACACTGAAGCCTCTCTCAGACCGAAGCTTCTTCATACTGAGGACAACTAACACTGAGTACTAAGCTACAGGCACACCTACTTATATCGAACTGCATCCATTTAACCATTTTGGTGCTTGACTCACACTTTGTAATTAAAAATACCTAGTTATTTTTTATATTTCTGACAATATCTTTATAAGATGGTGGGGGGGGGGGGACAAGGGTGGGATTAAGACCACTTTCTCCCACAATCCCCCTCTTCCTCTTCAGGAAACAGCTAAGTAGGAAATCAGTTCACCACCTTAGTCAGTTATATGTGAAATAAAGTGCTCTTTATTTGTTAACCAACCTAGAAGTCTGCTTCATCAGCCAAATATAGCCAACTAGTAAGGCAGAGTGAATCCGTGTTCTGCATTAACTCCGTTGTGGAATTATGGGAAGGACAGATTGAATACTCTCATTTTCAGTCTTGTCCTCCCTCAGCTATTGAGGAAACTATCCACATGAGAAGAGGAATGTGCCTGCACTCATGTATTATTTTCTTCTATGTATTAGTGGAGCAGCCCATTGAAAGAAAATGAGCAGATTTTTGATCGTTTGAATGAAAATTTGAAGGAAAAAATCATTTTTGCTCTTAAAGGAATATTGATTTTTCATTTTTAGGTACAGAACAGACATTTTATGAATCAATTTGGGAATTTGGGTGGAAAATTGGGATCTTAAAAATTAATAAAACTGTTTTGAGAGGAACTAGATCTCCCTCCTTCAACCTCTTTTTTTTAAAAAAATTGGACTATTCCCTTAATAACTGCTCTAGCTGGCAGGCAGCTAGTAAGAAATGAAAACCAATTAGTGTCGTTTTTTGTATAGATATCTGTGTTTGATAGCTGGGGATTCGTTCTTGATGAGCAATTATACATAGTTACAATAACTTAAATAATAGAAGACTCCTTTCTAGAGGCACTTCAACTTTTGTTACTTTAAAAAGTGTTTTGTCTTTTCCAGATTGGACATATTGATGGCGATCCCACCCGGAAAGGCGCTTTTCCTGTATCGTTTGTGCACTTTATTGTTGATTGAATAGACGGAGAGACATTCCATTTCTAGATTTCACGGTGGCTCCCTGCCTCGTATTCAGATGTTTCACCAGGATATTTTATGACCTATACACCAACATTATGGACATCCTCATGATGTAACTTAAGATTTTTTTTATTATTATTTACACAAGGGAGGGTTTACTTTATGTTGTTGTTCATTCGTTCAGTCGTCTCCGACTCTTCGTGACCTCATGGACCAGCCTACGCCAGAGCTCCCTGTCGGCCGTTACCACCCCCAGCTCCCTCAAGGTCAGTCCAGTCACTTCAAGGATGCCATCCATCCATCTTGCCCTTGGTCGGCCCCTCTTCCTTTTGCCTTCCACTTTCCCCAGCATAATTGTCTTCTCTAGGCTTTCCTGTCTCCTCATGATGTATAAACCAAATGTTCACATTGGAAAGCCCCAAGAACACAAGATACCTATTCCATGAAAAACATCTATTTTCATACATTTTGGTGTGCTAGGCACTCTCCTTTCTCACTTCAGTGAGCAAAAACATTCCTGACTCTGTGGTTCATGAAGTGTAGAAATGGACCGACAGTCTGAGCCAAGAGATTAATGACTTCACTGCATTACTGTATGACATTTCAGTGCCTGTCATGCAAATCTCATCTTTGCACTCAGTGTCTTGAGACTTATCTCAGGACAGTGCAGCTGCACTGAAAACTTCAGTTTTAAGAGTGGCAGTTTCTTCTGTTTTTATGTAGTACACAAATCGAGCGACAAACAATAGCTGGAATCCAATTTCTTATTACCTTTGCCTTCATCCATTGGTTCAGGGGTGTCAAGCTCATTTTCATCAGGGCTCTTATGGCTGCCTTCTGAGGGCCATTGAATCCATACATGGAGAAAACATGGCTACAGAGAGCCAACTATAATTTTTTTACATCATGGTTGGTGCTCTTTAAGTTTTTACCCAATTTGGGAGCCCAGATGTTATTGACAACTCTTATCATTTCTGATTATCCGCCATGCGGACTGGGAGAATGGGAATTGCAGCCCAATAGCACTTGTGACTCGTAAGTTTGGGGAAAAGTTAAATGACATTTTGTCAGACAACTTGTCTACAAGCCTTGTGTCTAAATTCAAACCCAGCTATCCTGACTGAACAGAACTGCAGTCTACCAGATGTGACTGTATTCCAACTCCCATCAGCCCTAGTCATGAGCTTGAACGAGGAGAAATACTCATTTAGGAGAAATGTCGGCCTGTGAACCTTGAGTTTGACACAAGTGGGTTCAGGTGAAGTTTCCTGGGGACTGGACTCCTTTGTAGAAACACACAGATGTCCCACCAAGGTCCTAGTGCTTCCATTTATTGAAAAGCAATTACAAATGGAGAGATTCTTCTTCACTCAGGTGCGCTTGGAATTGATAAATCCACAATACTCGTTAGAAATCTATGCCAATGTGTGGGTAGAGAGGACTCGAGTTAAAAATGTGTTTAAGCCCCAATAACACACCCAAACCAATACATATGGTGTATGTGAGTACCTTAAACATGTTATGTGTTTCTCATAGACATATTGTATAGTAAAAAAAAACCAGAGGAAAAAAGGTATGTATGAATAGGAAGATACATATCCACATAGCATCAGGCTCTTGCAGGACAATCAGCAAAATGATCACAGAAGCCTGAAATCTGAAAATTTGCAATGATTACATGATGCACTGAATAGACTATCACCCCTTAAGTGTGATACATCTCTTCCATCTTGCAAAATTTTGTTACACAAGGAACAAGTTGTTTCAGATCTAACATAACCTTAACAAACCATGATTAAACCACTTGTATTTTTCCTGCTATTGTTATATATATTTACAGCCGGGATGGGAGGCTCCCCTAGCCTGGATATTGTAGTCCACAGCTCCTATCATCACCCACTATTATTGGGTGTGCTTGCTGAGGCTCCTGGGAGTTGTAGCTCAAAACAGTGGAAGAGCCAAAAATTCCCCATCCCTGCTGCTTTATTATAGGGACTGGACAGGAAGGTAGCTTCGTAAAGCCTTGCCTACGTCCCCCATAATGCAAAGAAGCCTTAAGACTGGGGTGCAAAACCACAACCTTCTAACATCAAGGAATGTTTCTAAGTAAAACTTGCCACATAACCAGCCAATACTTTTTCCCCAAAGCTGGTGGAAAGGGGAACAATTCTGCCACCTGAGATGTGTGGCCATAAATTCTAGCTGGGAATTATCTTCTCTTCCCCCCACAGTGTATGAATGCTGGAAACATATACTTGTATGGGATCTACAAGAAATAAAAAAGTAACTGCATATTAATTTATTAAAAATTGTGCTAGAAAGACCTTCAGTTTTGCAAAAGAAATATTTTAATAATTTGATGTAGATATTTGGTTTCAACGCTGAATCTGATCACCTCATACTTTATAGACATGAGGTCATACTTTTCTATACTAAATATGGCTTAAACCTTATTTCATTCTTTAACCATCTTTAAGGTAAGAAGAATAAACCCATGTCAGATACCAACGATTGGTAAATAAACATAGCTGTGGATTAGTTTACTCACTTTTTATATACACACAACATAATTTATAGCATCTAACCTTTTTGTTTTGAAAGCACATTGTGGTGAAGCAGTGCTCCATGTATTATGGCATAGGCCACTGCCCTGCGATCGGTTCAATATCTATTTGCAGATTCACACTGTATACTTCAAATGTACTCTGAAACATGGTAGTTAACACTGTTAATAATTGTGAATAGATTTCATAATTCCAAATGAATAATAATCTATTACAGAACATAGCAATGTCCTTTTAATGTTTGTATATTGTGATATTGTAACAGGTTTTTATTTTGCATATATGCTACCCAAAAGGTGCAGCGGTAGCATAGGATTAGAATATCAAATGTCCAGGTCACATTGGCTTTGATCACAAGTTTTGTGACTATTGTATCTCTAGATTTATCAAGAGAACTTTGAATTTCTGACTCAGAAATTATGTATATATCGGCTAGAGTAGATTGGAACAGATGGGGGAGAAAGGCCAATTGGTATATTTATATTGCAGAGGGGATGCCCGGTCTCACCCTTTTATTGCTGCCTTGCTTAAAATGGTACATTTAAGACAACTTGTCCAATGTTTGGCTGCAAATCCATTGGCTTATATATATATATAAAAAAAGAAAAACCACTTTGATACAGGCTGTTGCAGTGTTTATGGGGGGAAAACTGGAATGTTTCAGGATAGTTTTGTTGCGGGTTTTTAAAGCCAAGTCTGCATATTCAAAGTTCCTGCTAAAACATATATGTATATTAGAATAATAGTTTGCCACTACACATTCATTCAGAGCCTGGTCGGTTCCATTCGGCTTTTAACACTATTTTTTATGCTTCTATGCCTGGTAAATGCTAGAAAATAAATTGGCACATTATTTTGCACGATTCACTTATGTACAGTATTTTTAACACAGAAGCTTACAAATAATATGTGCAACGCAGCATTGGGAAGTGGTTTTTTTTAGCCCTTAAATATCACATCAACTAGGATCCTGAAAAGGTTTTCACATGAACACCTCTGCTGTCTCCTCACAAGCCTCTTTTGAAACCCAGGAAACTCTCAAAAGAGAATAATAATATGTCAATCAAAGGAGGGAGAAGTCAAATGTCACTGAATATGCCTGGAATGGTCTGAGCTCAACTGAAGTAAATGCATGGAGCCAACCTTTGTTTACACTCTTTTCAGGTATCCTGCAAATACTTAAATCAGGTTCAGTTTAAAAGTGTTTATCGTACTACAATGTGATGATTCTGGGCTTGGAATAAAGGTGTCTATTTTAAAAGTTCACTTTGGGTTTTTGGCACTGTTTGACACACTTCATAACTATCCGTCTAAGTATTTGAATTTTTTTTCCAAGTCAATCAGGTCATGTTATCCTTCACAAAAACAGATGATATTCAGCAAACTGTTAGTGAGCACACAATTACTGTGTTTGACTATTTTTAAAAGGAGCATATGACACTTACGATGCAGCTCAGAATGCTACTTGAGATGTATAATTTTCAGTGTGATGGTTTTGTTTAGTTGCAGAGCAACTGTATACATTGTATAACCGAAATCAATTTTTTTTTAGTGTCTGGATACATTGATTTATAATTCGAGCATGATTAATTTTACTTTTGTTAAACCAGTCACTTAACTGGAAAAATAAACTACTTTTAAGCCTCTTATTGACTTCGTTACGAACTGTGTGGCATTGTTAAAGAATAACTATAGACCCAACCATGTCCACATGTATCACTGTATATTATGAGCAGGTTGTCTTAATTTTAATTTTAAAACCAAATCCCTCTTTCATTCTTTAGAGACAAATGGTGAAGTAAAGCATATGCTGGTGTATGTGCTTGAATATTTGTGGGTGTTAAGTATAATCGCCTCTGTCTATTGCTTGAAAATGTTTTTAATGAAAGCAAACCTTGATTTTGCTGTTTTATATAAGGTAAAGGTTTCCTCTGACATTAAGTCTAGTTGAGTTCGACTCTGGGGGGTGGTGCTCATCTCCATTTCTAAGCCGAAGAACTGGTGTCTGTAGACACCTCCAATGTCCTGTGGCCAGCATGACTTCAGGGAGCGCCATTACCTTCCAGACAGAGGGGTCCCTATTGATCTACTCCCTGGATTCGAACTGCCAACCTTTCGGTCGGCAACTTCAGCAGCTCAGTGGTTTAACCTGCTGTGGCATCGGGGGCTCCAAAGGACACTATTTTATAAAAGACACCATTTTACTACAACATTGTGGAACATCAGCATTCATGGGTTTTGTATCCATGGGGGCCCTGAAACCAAATTTCTGCAGACAGCAAAGGCTGTAGTGAAGTGGGCTCCAATCCCAAATGGGAGTTTTCCCGAGCTCAGTGTTGGGGTCCCAAAAAATTGACAACAATAAATGGTTTCTGAATGTCATCTAGACATTTACCCAAATCTGTTAGCAACAGCATGCAGTGTTTATAGTGGACTCAGAAGAAAATGCTTCAGCTGTACTCCACAAAAAAGGAAAATCATTCTGTTTAGCAATCTTTGCACATGTTGATTTGTTATCAGTAAATGTTTGGTTTTTATACCTATTTTATATACCTATATACCCAAGATCATGTAAAATATTTCAAGCAGAAAGGGGGTGCCATTTTTTTTCTCAGATGGAAGGGGGAGGGCACAAGTGGAAAAAGTTTACAAAGCTGTGGTCGAAGTAATCTAACAATTCTTACCAAGGTATGTTTTCAATTAACTTTTTTTATTCAAGTTGTAAAAAAGGAGCACAGAGAAGCAAAGTTTATTTCGAATTCATATAAAATATCAAGTCTATAGCAGGAAAGACTAAGAGGTCACATCTGCCCTCCAAGAGATCTTAGAGCAGAGCCTTTCAGACATTTCATGTTGGGGACTACCTTTTTATACATTCTTGATTTCCTGACATAATAATAATAATAATAATAATAATAATAATAATAATAATAAACCTGCCCTCTCTCCCAGGAGGGACTCAGGGTGTTTTACTAGTAAATGAGGGTAAACTAGCCTCTGATAAAAGGTACAGAAACCTGCATGAATTATGACAATGGAATGTATGGAGGATACAACATATCCCATGAAAACCTTTTATTTAAATATAGGATTTATTTATTTTACATAGACCCAGGGGTTCTCATTACATTCATGTGACACACTGTAGCCAACACACTTAACGTGCCGCGACATTACCTTCCTGCCAGAGTGGCTCCAAGGTCATGTGGCCAGCATGACTGTATGCTGCGAGTTTGGAAAGCTCTCCCTTAGAGGGATTTATTTTTGCCCCTAAATGCCTTCTGTGGAACAGAAGGCATTTAGGGAGGGGGATGTTTTGCAAAATACCACTTTGATACCATAAATACCTTCAACAACTTCTAGAGCTAACCTTTGAACCTTTTGGAGAAGTATTTGATTTTTTTTTTTTGCAAAAAAACCAAAACAACAAAAATGGTTGATCCTTGAGGGGGGTCCCGGGGGCCACAATGTGGCCTATAGGCTGCACTGTGCCCACTTCTGCTCTACAGGTTCATTAACATAAACTAGCTTATATTATTCAGTCTTGATTAGGCTCTTGGTCATATAGTTTAAAAACAAACATTTACATAAAACAGCCGCTTTTCCTTTGAAGAGGTGAAGCAGTTCTTTACAAATAAAAATCCAGTTCAGCTGTACCAAAGTGCTTGTTTGGCCTACAATTCCTGCAGCTGCAGCAAGTAGTACTTCCTCTCGGTATGAAGTGGAGCTACTGAAATTCAGGGCTTCTCAGATGTTAAAACTGAGTCAAAGGCCGTGGAGAGCATCTTACAAATGGCTTGTGCTTGTTCCTATAAGTTTAGGAAATAAGAAATCATAAAAAATCATTTCCACTAGTTTACAGTACAATTCAATCTTACAGAACTCATCTCAAAGCATGCCTTGTTTCTCTGATGACACGGTTTGGAAATGTGTGGGCTTCCAAATTTTGTTGAGTTATAACTACCTTCTAGCCTAGGCATGAGCAAACTTGGGCACTCCAGGTGTTTTGGACTTCAATTCCCACAATTCCTAACAGTAGGCTGTTATGGGAGTTGAAGTCCAAAACTGTTTTAGTCCATACCTGTTCTAGCCAATAAAGAAGCCTCATAATTATAGTTCAACATCGAGAAAGCCACATGTTCTCTATTCCTGCTCTATGATATATGGTAGACATGTGCTTCAGGTTCAGATGAATTTCAAATTCAAGACCAAATTAGGGAAAACTCAGGCAGGTTTTGGAGATTGAAGTGTCATGCCTCTGAAGTAGGCAAATATGAATACTTTTAAAGACTTCCTAGCCATTTCCGTTTGGAAGGACATAACTAGTATGCCTGTAATACATTTCTACAAGGGCCCTCATATAAGGAAAACAGAAACTAGAGAAAAAAAGGAATGAAGTTTTGTCACTGACTACTCTAGTATGCAGTACTTAAAAATTAATTTCACCAGGACTCTCCAACCACATTGAAAGAAGGATGTTGAAATAAAATAAGACTGAACTGGTGCTCAATACCAAAAATTGCTTTATCCCCAAGAACAAACACCAATTTAATGATTTGAATGAAGTACCTCATGATTGTTCACTGATCACTAAAACTGATAAACTCAGCTGAAAAATGCACATCTATGTTTGTGTACATAGCATAACGCCCTGAACCCCGTTGGGGACGTATGTTTTCATAAATGGACTTTCATCTGCAAGAATTGGGATTTTGCAGTTCTCTAATGCTCATATCCAGTAAAGGGTTGCTCTTACATTGCAATATAAGTGAGCCAGTAAAGTTTACCAGTATTACAATATTCTAAAATCAGGACAGTAAATAAAAAGCAACACTCGGAAAACAGGGGAATTCCAAACAAGGAACAATCAGGGCCAGATAACACCTCCCAACAAATGATTTCCCCAGGCAGCAATCAGCCAGGCTTTGAAGCTGCAAGACCATTAAATATCAATCAAATTGGCCAATTGCAACAGTCACACTTGCCTCAAGCAGACAAGAGTTCTTTCTCCCACACTGGAATTCCACAGATATATAAACCTCCCTTGCCTAGTTTCCAACAGACCTCACAGCCTCTGAGGATGCCTGCCATAGATGCAGGCAAAAAGTCAGGAGAGAATGCTTCTGGAACATGACCATACAGCCCGGAAAACTCACAGCAACCCAGCGAAGTTTGTTAAAACATATTATGTAAATGTTACATAGATAGTAAGAGGTTTGGCGACCACACTGTTCTTCCAAGTGTGTCCCAAGCTTCTGCTGCTCCTCATGTTAAAACCCTTCATCACAGTTTTGGCTAAGTAAAGGTACTGGGAATTCATGCATACTATTAGTATGGTACACATTAAATTGCTGTCCATCTTTAGATCCCATTGGATATGTGGCCTTTAAAAATACAAAAAAAAATCACCTCACCAAACTATTACACTGGTATATCCAAAGGCTGTATTCTTCATAGTTCATATCGGTTGTTTTCAAAGCCAGCAAACTCTTGCCTGCGCCAAGGCCATCGTCATAGCACACCATGCGAACAATTAGGTAAAGCGCATGTCTATGCAGAACATCCTGAAAGTTGCACAAGTTAATTTAGTCCAGGAGAAAATAGATACTAGTTCACTTCATCAATACAAAACTTCTAAGATGTTGCCTTATGTGTTTGGGAATGAATTATCTATGCTTTATTTACAAAAAAACACCTTGCAGAAATCCTATTTGTGAGATAGGGAAATTATTCTCTCCTTTACTAATAAGATAAGGATTACACTTTACATTTGTCAGGGCACAAAAAAATCTTAACTGTCTCAAGAATTCTGTGCAAAGTTTCTCTTCTGAGAGTTCATTTCTCAAATCTACTTTGTCCCATAAGCCTCACAAACAGGTTGTTAATAGGACTGGTTCCATCTTGGTAAAAACTTGCTACCTTTTGGAATACTATATAAGGTCAGTCAAAGTTCAAAGAGCTTAGCACAAACTTACAGTTCTTCATTTGGGGACTAGATAAAAGAAAACCTGGGACTTATTATAGAAAGCTTTTACACCACTTTTGTTTCATCCCTTTGGCACAGATTACACATTGCACTGAAGTGAGAAACTGTAAACAAGGCAATATTATTTTATCTGGGAAGGCTGATATTTCTGAGTACTATCAACTTGCATCCCTTCTACACTACCATATAAAATCTAGACTACCTCCTTTGAACTGAATTATATGTCAGTGTAGACTCATACAATCCAGTTCAAAGCAGATGTGGATTATCTGATTTGATAATCTGGATTACATGGCACTGTAGAAGGGGGCTTAAACTACTACCTGAAACTAACGGTTTGGAACCTGTTATGAGAGACCTCCATTGGCCTTTCTTTTAAGTGGCATGAAGGCCAAAATTAAGAGGATAATTATATTCATAGTATTCCATAAAATATGTGATTGCTATTCCATAAATAGAATAACCATGTAGTACAATCTTTCAATGGGATCCACCTCTCACTATTTCAATTCCTTGACTCATTTTGAGAGAAAGGCATTTAAGTAACTGCAAATTGGTATGGGAGTTGCATAAATATTTCCCTATCTCATACTCTTTATATGTGTGAGGTGTCAGATTCAAGGACTTAGTTGCATTAACCCTATTTTGAAATACAAAAAATACATCTTCCGGTATGATGGCGGCATGGTAAGCAGCGAACCTTCTTCTCGGGGAAAGAGAGGGACCACAACCCACCTTAATCTTGCTTAATCCCCCCTTCTGGACTCCTAAAAACAGCCCCCTCACACAAACAGCAATCCCAGGGTCACGAAAGTGATCTTGGAGACCTGGTTTGGGGAGCGCCGGAGAAGGAAGGTGAACAAACGGGGAAAGGAGGAAAGGAGAAAGACAACCGGGCCGCCGCCATTGCCGGCCCCAAACATTCTACCTCCTCGCCATTGGACCCTTTCTGGACCCCTTATACCCTCCAGTCTCCAGTTTTCAATAATTTACCATCGTTTTGCTTAGACGGAGAAGTGGAGGCTCTGTTTGGCTGCTTGGCTGCCCGGCGGGCTGTTTTTCAACCGCGCCGGCTTCCTCCTGTTCGGCCCAGCCGGCTTTCTTGCTCCAGCTACAGCCTCGGACACCTGGCTGCTTCAGCTGTGCGGGCCGGTTTCCAACTCAGGAGAGAAGAGCGGAGGTGGAGCAAGGCCCATTACTAGTTGGGCCCGAGCACGCTCCCTCCCAAACCGCGGATTACTCGGCCGGAGCCTTTGGGGCCGGGACGACCTGCAGCTTGCTGGCCCTGGTGGCGTGCGGCGCTAGGACCCTGGGGTGGTTGGAGTTGCCGCCCCGGGTCTTGACGCGGCCGCCATCTTGGAGTGCTGCGCGGTTGCCGCGGCGGCTCCCTGTGGCCTAGATTGGCCTTCTGTGCGCCTGGAGCAGGGTCGTTCATCAGCTCGGCCCCTTGTGTTTCATCGCCCGGCGGAGCCTTCGGCTGGTTGGCAGGGCTGCCGCTCGGACATCAGCGGCATTCCGGCATCTCCTGCTCGGTGGCCTGGCGGCGTTGGAGCCTAGAGTGGGGTCGGTGCTCATCATCTCCCGCCGCCCTTCCAGATGCCTAGGCATCCCAACTGGTGTCTCTGCCCCTTCCTCAGGGAAGTCTGCCCCTGGCCGGCCTGGTTTCGGGTCAGAGCCTGAGGGCGGCCTAACGGATTTGTATTTGGACCACACTCCTCCTGAGGATCCTTGGGGCCAAACTGTGTATGCCACCGATGCTACCAACTCTATGCCAACGCTGTGCTGACCGACTCTGGCTGTCCGACGTGTGTTGACTAATTAACTATCTACTGTGCCGACTGCCTGTGCTGTTCAATCTACTGTGCCGACCGTTGTGTTGTTCAATTTATTGTGCTGTCCACCTGTGTTGTCCATCCTTTACCATCGGGCCGACTGGCTGCGGCCGATGACCACCTCTGCGGACACTAATTCTATTCCCGGAAGGACCAATATCAATCCACCTTTTGACCCACTTTCTGTCGTTCATTGTCCTGAAATTGTATGTTTTAATATTCTTACCAACATATTGAGTGGTGCTGCTAATCTGCATAATTCTAGCACTTTATTCTATCAGCACCTTAATCCGCCTGCACTTTAAACTGCTATCTTGTACTGTATTGGTCCACTATCCTGCTTAGTTTAGCACTCCAACCCAGTGTTCTAGTCTTTTAGCTTTTGAATCTGGGGTTCCTCCATGACGCACCTTATTTTAGCACTTTAGAACAATCTCGATAACCTATTGCACTTTAAGACCTGCGAGGTTGCTACAACTACTGGCTGCACTTTAAGAACCTTGGTAGCTCTAGTGATAGTGTTAACATCTACCTTTGCACTTTAAGAACTGTGAGGCTGACACAACTACCTGCTGCACTTTAAGAACCTTGGTAGCTCTATTGATAGTGTTAAACATCCATCATCCATGCTGGTCCCGACTTCCTGGTATCTTTTAACCCTGCTGATAATTGTCTGTGGGAGAGGTAAGGAGGGGAGTGAATTGGAGATTTCAGTGTGAATTGAACCGGTGACAAATCAGATAACCAGCAGCGAAGCATGGGGTGAAACTATGGAGGTAGATTGCGTCATGGAGGAGGGAGGGTGTTCCGTTGGTCGGGGAGCCCCCATAGAAGTCGTGGTGGGGATGGGGAGATACAGGAAAAGGAGACCCCGAATTCGGCCTAGGGATCGTACAACAACATTAGTAATTCCAAATCGGTCTCCTGATACGGTAAATTGGTGTAACCAGGTTGGCGGTCCCCCCGGATTGAAGGTGGTGCTGTTGAACGCCAGATCTGTCAATGGCAAAACAGCTTTCATCCAGGATTTAATCCTGGATGAACGGGCAGATCTGGCGTGCATCACAGAGACCTGGCTGGACGAAGCTGGAGGTGTGAATTTGACCCAGCTTTGCCCGCCAGGTTTCTCTGTGCAGCACCAACCGAGATCCGGAGGGCGGGGAGGCGGGGTTGCAGTGGTCTATAGAGATTCCATTCTTCTGACCAGGGCCCCCATCCCGCAGTCAACAAATTTTGAATGCGTCCACCTGAGGGTGGGTGACCGGGACAGATTAGGGATTCTGTTAGTGTACCGTCAACCTCGCTGCACTACAGTCTCCCTGCCTGAGCTAGCGGGGGTGGTCTCGGACCTGGCATTGGAGTCCCAGCGGCTGCTTGTGCTGGGGGACTTCAATGTCCACGTCGAGACCACCTTATCGGGAGCGGCTCAGGACTTCATGTCTGCCATGGCAACCATGGGGCTGTCCCAACAGATATCTGGCCCCACCCACAGTGCTGGACACACATTGGACTTGGTTTTCTGCCAGGGATGGGAGGAAGGTGGCGGTGTTGAGGAGTTATCCATCTCTCCGTTGCCATGGACCGACCACCACCTGGTCAGCTTTAGACTCACTGCACCCCCTAACCTCCGCAGAGGTGGAGGACCCATTAATTGGTCCGCCCCAGGAGGCTTATGGATCCGGATGGATTCCTGATGGCTCTTGGGGAATTTCCCGCCACCTCGGTTGGTGATCCTGTTGATGCTCTGGTCGCTCTCTGGAATGGGGAGATGACTAGGGCAATAGACACGATCGCTCCAGAACGTCCCCTCTCAAGTAGCCGAGCTAAACCAGCTCCTTGGTTCACCGAGGAGCTGGCAGCGTTGAAGCGAAAGAAGAGGGAACTAGAGAGCGTGTGGCGTTCGGATCCGAGCGAGCCAAATCGAACACGGTTTGTGTCCTTTTTAAGGGCATATGCCGCGGCAATAAAAGCCGCAAAGAAGATCTTCTTTGCGGCCACTATTGCGTCTGCAAAGAACCGTCCGGCTGAACTGTTCCGAGTTGTCAGAGGCCTTTTAAAACCTACCATGCAGGATGGGTGCCCTGATGACTCGGCAGCTCGCTGTGAAGCTTTTGCTCAGTTCTTTGCAGACAAAGTCGCTTTGATCCGCTCTGGTCTGGATACCATATTAACGGCAGTCTCTGAGGATGTAACACGAGCATCTGCTTGTCCGGTTTTGATGGATTCATTTCAATTGGTTCAATCCGAGGATGTGGACAAGGTGCTTGGAGGAATGAGAGCTACCACATGCATCCTGCCCATCCTGGCTTCTGAAGGAGGCCAGAGGGGGATTGGCCGAGTGGGTGAAGGTGGTGGTTAATGCCTCCCTTCGGGAGGGCAAAATTCCAGCCAGCTTAAAGCAAGCTGTAATAAACCGCTGTTGAAAAAACCATCACTGGACCCCACTCAATTCGTCAACTTTCGGCCTGTTTCCAATCTCCCCTTTTTGGGCGAAGTCCTGGAACGTGTGGTGGCCTCACAACTCCAGGCATTCTTGGTAGACACGGATTATCTGGATCCGGCACAGTCTGGCTTTAGGCCGGGGCATGGTACCGAGACAGCCTTGGTCGCCTTAGTGGATGATCTGCGTCGGGAGCTCGACAGGGGGAGTGTGTCCCTGTTGGTGCTGCTGACCTCTCAGCGGCCTTCGATACCGTCGACCACGGTATCCTTCTGGGACGCCTCGGGGATGGGTCTCGGGGCACTGTTTTACGGTGGCTCCGGTCATTCCTCGAGGGTCGGTCCCAGAAGGTGTTAATGGGAGACCTGTTCAACCCCACAACCTTTGTCTTGTGGGGTTCCTCAGGGTTCAATACTGTCTCCCATGTTGTTTAACATCTACATGAAGCCGCTGGGGGAGATCATCCGGAGTTTCGGAGTGCGATGTCATCTGTACGCGGATGATGTCTAACTCTGTCACTCCTTTCCACCTGCTACTAAGGAGGCTGTCGAGGTCCTGAACCGGTGCTTGGCCGCTGTGACGGTCTGGATGGGGGCGAACAAATTGAAATTGAATCCAGACAAGACAGAGGTACTCCTGGTCAGTCGCAAGGACGAACAGGGTATAGGGTTACAGCCTGTGTTGGATGGGGTCGCACTCCCCCTGAAGACGCAGGTTCGCAGTTTGGGTGTGATCCTGGACTCATCGCTGAGCCTGGAACCCCAGGTTTCGGGGGTGACCAGGGGAGCATTCGCACAATTAAAACTTGTGCGCCAACTGCGACCGTACCTTGGGAAGTCCGACTTAGCCACGGTAGTCCACGCTCTGGTTACATCCCGCCTTGACTACTGCAACGCTCTCTACGTGGGGTTGCCTTTGAAGACTGTCGGAAGCTTCAACTTGTCCAACGCTTGGCAGCCATGATACTAACAGGAGCGGAGCGCAGGGAGCATACACCTCCTCTGCTGCACCAGCTCCACTGGCTGCCGATCTGCTACCGGGCTCAATTCAAAGTGCTGGCGTTGGCCTTTAAAGCCCTAAACGGTTCTGGCCCAACTACCTATCCGAACGTATCTCGGCCTATCAGCCCGCCAGGACCCTAAGATCTTCTGGGGAGGCCCTGCTTTCTATCCCGCCTGCTTCACAGGTGCGGCTGGCGGGTACGAGAGACAGGGCCTTTTCTGTGGTGGCCCCGCGGCTATGGAACGCCCTTCCCTTGGAGGTAAGATCAGCCCCCTCATTGATGGTATTCCGAAGAAGATTAAAAACCTGGATGTTCGAGCAGGCATTTGGTTAACTCAATGCAATGAATGTAATGATTAAAGAACTGGCAATATGGACGACGAAACTGGATCACGATTTTAGTCAGGAGATGAATTGGATTGTTATTGATATATGAATTGTGTATTATGTTTTTATGCTTTTAAACTGTATACTGTTGATTGTTATATTTTGTTGTAAACCGCGTTGAGTCGCCGGCTAGGCTGAGAAACGGCGGTATACAAGTATAGCAAATAAATAAAATAAATAAATACATCTAAGAAACGTTAACAACTAATATATTTCAGAACTATCACTTACATACTGGTCCAAAGTTGTGACTTTAATGCCATACTTGGACACTCCCATAACAAATTCTTCATCCCCTGGAACAAAGGGTAGTTTTCCATCTTGCTTTGGAAAGGAACAGAAAGAAATATTGTATTTACATGTCAGTACTACTGTTATGTTACTCAGCATTCACTCCTGAAACAAGTATTGGAAGAGACAAGTAACTTGCAACTTGCAAATCTTATTAAAGATACACAAGCATCAAAGCTCAATAAAGGTTTGGTGGCAATTATAGCAGTATGTGAACTATGAACGGATTACTATAGGGTTTTTTTTCAAATTAAGTTGAGTTTTGCTAGAATGTCTACATTTAAGACACTATTTACTAAAGGCTAGGCTTTAATCAAAACAGGTCATGGAAAGAACTTTGCTATTTCTATTTTGTTGAACAATCCATAAACACAACAGTGAGAAAGAAATGTGTTTCTGTGAGTTTTCCAGGCTGTATCTCAGAGGTTGTGAGATGCCTGCCTTAGATGCAGGTGAAAAGTTAGGAGAGAATGCTTCTGGAACATGGCCATACAGCCAGGAAAACTCCTAGCAATGCAGTGATCCCAGCAATGGAAGCCTTCAACAATAGAAAGAAATGTGTTTCATGATTAAAGTGAGAAATGTCATTTCTTCTTCAAATATGTTGATCAGATTTATATTTAAATGTATGTTGTATTGTGACCAATCTTCATCATACATTTCTACCATTTAAGGAAGACACAGGAGACCTATTTGGCCAAAGCTGACAACCTGAGGTCAACCAGAACTGTTTGGAAGCTACTGCAGATACTTTGTGCATTAATGTTTATTTACACAAGTAGCTCCAACCTCCCAACCTGATTCCAATACTGGTGAAATGGGGTAAATCAGAACTTCAGTAGAGCTGTAAGCCAATATATAAAAACAGAAATAGTTGGGTGTCATAAAAGGCAAAGGTTTACCCTTGAGATTAAATCTAGTTCTGTTTGACTCTGAAGGGTGGTACTCATCTCTATTTCTAAGCCGAAGAGCCGGCAATATCCATAGACTACTCCAAGGTTACGTGGCCAGCATGACTGCATGGAGTGCCATTACCTTCCTGCTGGAGCGGTACCTATTGATCTACTCACATTTGCATGTTTTCAAACTGCTAGGTTGGCAGAAGCTGGGGCTAACAGTGGGAGCTCACCCCGCTCTTCAAATTCAAACTGCCAACTTTTCAGTCAGCAAGTTCAGCAACTCAGTGGAGTAACCCACTGTGCCACCAGGGACTCCGGTGTCATAGTTGCCCTATAAAAATACCTAGGGTGAGATGTTTCTACTTAATTTAGAACTAATATGTTTGATGAAAGTACAGAATAATTGTCCTGAGTAACTACACTGGTGCATATCCATGCTATACTAAAATATATACGACACTGGCCATTGTCTTTACCTGTGCCACATCTATGTAGTTGATCAAGTCCAGCGGCCCTTCCAAAGTCTTGCTTTCATCGAGCTTCAACTTCTCAATGGCACCAACATATTTCACTCTAAATTCTGCACAAGTATCTGAATTGCTATTGCTCTGACCTATAAAGAAGCACATATTCAAACAAGAATCCAACCATGAAAGTTAACTCACACCCCTCAAGATCCATCCCACGCATCTGGGCTCAGCTTTAGCAGCATGAACACCAAGAGTAGTGAAAGCATCTATTATTGGATTGCACCCCATATTATCCTCCCAAGATTTCAGAACTGCTTCATTCTAGAACAGGCATGGGCAATCTTCAGCCCTACAGGTGTTTTGAACCAACTCCCACAATTCCTAACAGCCTACCAGCTGGTGAAGTCCAAAACACCTGAAGGGTCAAAGTTTGCCCATGCCTGTTCTAGAAGGATCCACATGACAGAAGAATCCTTTGATAGCACACAACTAACATTAATGCAAAAGCTGAAGGATAGAGCCAAAGGAGCTGAATGAGCACTGTTTTATGGATCTTGGGGCCTGGATGATTTGTTTCCAGTTGGCTGCATTAACTTTACCATCTAATGTTTCACTTAGAAGCTATTTGGTGGGGTGTGATAATAGGATGAAAACATGGAAAGAGGTGCAAATATCTAACATTTTCTGAAATTCACATTAATGGTATGAACTAATATGTCTGTTTAGATTATGCAGTCTCCAGTCTAAGGCTTTGCCTCTTCCCCGCCCAAGATTACTGGATGTAAACCATGAAAAACAGTCAATATCGCAAAAACTAGAGAGGAAAGTTATCACACAAGAATCTACATATAAAGAATTTTTTATGCAGAAGCATGCATACTTTCCTTCACAGGTTTATAGAGAGCACAAACTTCTGAGTTATTGTCTGTTTAAGACAATTCTATTCCTGTTAATGACAACACTGGATAAAATTCAGATTTCTTCTTATTATGTTTATTTATATCCAGTTTTTTCCCTCTATAAGGAGACTCAAAGCGGCTAACATTTTTAGCTCTCATCTACACAATTTACCAATTATAGTCCATTCAGTATATCAGATTCATACCTGAACTTTTTGTGGAGTCTGTATCTAGACTGGCAACAGTGCTAGATCTTGAAAGTCCTCCAAGACTGGAGTCCACTGACTAGGTAAGACAAATAGAACAAAGCTATGAAGTTTTTGCTTCCCTATGATTTATTTTTTCAGTTCTCTGAAGTTTAAATAAAAGATGCACTAAATCTATGCAGGTTTAACAGATCTTTGGACTTGTATTCAATTTTTTTACATAAATGGATAACAAAGAAATTGCCCGAAAAAACCTACAACAACCCAACAAAGAAATACATTTTTTTTCTTCAACATGCTAAATAATTATTTTAATAGTTCTAAACAGTAAATACATTTTTGGGTATTGGACACTTCTATATGAAAGTGTGAACCCACACTTTGCACCCACTGGGATTTTCAATTGAAAAGAATACATGCAGTCTCAAAAATTCATTTCTTTGTAACTCTTTCTGTGTTGGTACAGCTACACTTTAAAATTAAAGCAGAGTGACACCACTTTAACTGCTGTGCCTCAGTGCTATGGATTTATGGGAGTTTCCATTTCACAACCACAAGATCCCAGAGAATATACAGTTAAAGTGGCATCAAATTGCATTGATTTTACAATGTAAATGCACATTGTGTCTTGAAGGGAAAATGGGCACAAAATCATGCTGGTATTTTGAAAAACAAGCACAGTATTTCATCAAATCATCAGTGGGTACTGTTTCATTATCTGAGCAAACTCCAAAAGGGGCCTAGACAGAGAAGGATAGTCCATTTTATCAGGGAGAGGGGGAGTTGAAGGAGTTAAACCATTTCCCCCCTGTTTTTGCTGGTTATTCCCCCCCCCCCAGTCACAAACCACAGTCGTTTCAATGGTGGCAACATGGGGGAGGGGGGGGGAATAACAGGAAACCAGAGGAAAATGATTTAACTCCTTCAACTCACCCTCCACCCCATAAAATGGTCTATATTTCTCTGTCTAAGCGTCCTTTTGGGCTCCACCCAGGTAATGGAACAGTACCACTCAGAGTATCACTCATTTATTATTCAGTTTCAGTGAATTACAAACAGATCCACCAGTGATGGTGCCACTCAAAGGAATTTAACTTACTCAAATCAATTGGTCAACCAACAAAAGTTGGTTTTAGGGAATTTTTCAAAATATTTTTAAGTCACAGCTGAATCTGTGAATGCAGAACCCATGGAAACAGAGGATCACCTGTAATATGAAAGCATGATTATTGTATGCATCAGCCCAATACCACGTTGGCCTTACTTTGCTTTTAGTGCTGATCTCGCTGCTCTGGGAGCTACTACTGCTGTGCCGCTTCTTCCCTTTCCTGAACATCTTCTGTCAAGAGAGAAGAGCAAAGTGAATCCTGTAAAGAGAGAACAAGTATTGTTTACCACGTTATGGCAACAGAAAGCCTTAAAAATGCACATAAACCCACAAAATAAAATAACAGTACCAATATGTTTAAGATGGAGACTCAAATATCCTACTCAAAATCTATTCCTAACTGAAAACTAATAATAATGATAATAAACTTTATTTATATCCTGCCACCATCTCCCCAAAGGGACTCAGGGCGGTTTACAAGACACTCCAGGGTGTATATATAAAATACCACATGTTAAAACAGTACAAAAGTATAAAAAGTCACAAAAAATTATAACAGCAACACCTGTTCACACATGTAGCATGAAATCAAAATAATACAATTTTAAAACAGTAGATAAAACTAACTGCCATCAATTCACAAGGTGCCAAGTGTCAGCTTCATATGGGCCCATTCAGCCTACTCAAGGTCAAAGGCCTGTCTGAACATCCATGTTTTCAGGTTGGAACGGAAGGATTGAAGGGTGGGGGCTAATCTAATCTCTTTTGGGAGTTGATAAATAGGTACCGCTTAAAAGTGGGAAGGTATTTAAGGCATGTTTAGCCTGAAGAAGAGAAGGATGAGAGGAGATATGATAGCCATGTATAAATATGTGAGAGGAAGCCACAGGGAGGAGGGAGCAAGCTAGTTTGCTGCTTCCATGGAGATTAGGACAAGGAACAATGGCTTCAAACTACAAGAAAGGAGATTCCATCTGAAAATGAGGAAGAACTTCCTGACTGTGAGAGCCGTTCAGCAGTGGAACTCTCTGCCCCGGAGTGTGGTGGAGGCTCCTTCTTTGGATGCTTTTAAACAGAGGCTGGATGGCCATCTGTCGGGGTGCTTTGAATGCAATATTCCTGCTTCTTGGCAGGGGGTTGGACTGGATGGCCCATGAGGTCTCTTCCAACTCTTTGATTCTATGATTCTTGTCCCCAATAACGATGCTTGAGACGGTGATGGGACTGAGAGAAGGGCCTCCCTGTCCATCTCAGAGCCTGTGCCGGTTCGTAGAAAGAGATGTGGCCTCAAAGACAGGTTGGATCCAAAGTGTATACCAAGGCCCCTTCTACACTGCCATATAATCCTGTTCAAAGCAGATAATCTGGATTTTACATGACAGTGTAGAAGGAGCCTAAAAGTGTTTCCTACCTTGTTATATCCTACCTGTTATATCCTACCTTGTCCATGTCCAGCATTATTTTTTAAATTTTAAATTATTGCATTTGGCCCAGCCATAGGTTTTAAATGCTTGTTGTTATTGTTACTGTTTATTGTTTACTTTTGTTTATGAGATTTATTTTACTGTTGTATTTATTGTTTTCTTATTGCTTTTACTGTTGATGTACTTTGGGCTTGGCCTTATGTAAGCTGCACCGAGTCCCTTGGGAAGATGGTAGTGGGATATAAATAAAGTTTTATTATTATTATTTCAGTGTTTAGCCTCTGGGTCTTGAACATAGAAACAAAGGGCCCTTCCACACAGCCATATAACCCAGAATATCAAGGCAGAAAATCCCACAATACCTGTTTTGAATTGGGTTATTTATCTGAGTTCACACTGCTATATATTCCAGTTCAAAACAGATTATGTGGGATTTTATTCAGCTGTGTGGAAGGAGCCAAAGACATGCTTACTTATGTGTCAGCACTAGGGCTGGGCAGCAGCAAGAACAGAAAGATAACATTATGGGTGCCTCTACATCAGGCCTGGGCAAACTTGGGCCCTCCAGGTGTTTTGGGCTCCAACTCCCGCCATTCCTAACAGCCTCAGGCCCTTTCCTTTTCCCCCTCAGCCGCTTAAGGAAGGGGCCTGAGGCTGTTAGGAATGGCGGGAGTTGGAGTCCAAAACACCTGGAGGGCCCAAGTTTGCCCAGGCCTGCTCTACACTGTAGGAATGATGTTGTTTGACCCCACTGTAACTGCCTTGGAATGCCTTTGAGTGTTGAAGTTTGCGAGGCACCAACCTTATTTGGCAGAGAAGGCTAAAGGCCTGGTCAAACTCCAGAGCAAAAAAGGGCGCAAACCCTTCAGGTAGGCCCAAGCGCCTTGTTTCCTCCCTCGCAGGCCGCTCCTCGAAGTTCCCTGCTAGCGGGAAGGCACGGAAACCACACAGTGTTACTCCGCCGGCTTCGTGCCCTACTCCCGCCTCCCACTTCCGCTCCTTGTTCCCTCTCAGGCCAAGGCGGAAGTGAAGGCAGGAGAGGCCGCTTTCCGGTTCTTCCTCGCGGGAGGGCACGCAGTACGGGTGCCGAGGAAGGACATTCGGGGCCGTGTGCGCAGTTGTACTGCTTCCCCGCAGTAGGGATGGCGGTGAGGCGGCGGGCGGAGGCCTTCGTGCCGGCGGAGGAGAGCGACCAGCTCCTGATCCGTCCCCTGTGAGTGGCTTCGAGGGGGAGAGGCCAGGCTTCGTGTTTCCCCTGTCAGCCCTTTCCTGCAAGAAACCTCCACAGGGCAAACAGACCTTGCTGAAACAGAACCGTTTACCTCCAGTGCCGGCCTGCTCCCTAGGCCCCTTCCACACAGCTGCATGAAATCCACACTGAACTGGGTTATGTGGCAGTGTGGACTCAGATCAAACAGTTCAAACCAGATATTGTGAATTATCTGCCTTGTTATTATATGGCTGTGTGGAAGGGTCCAAAATGTCTATTATTGCTGCAGTATGACAGAAATACGTCTTTTTTGTTTTAAACCTCCAGCTCATGAATACCTATTGGCTCAAATGACTGAAGATCATGAGTCAATTACTGTCAGCAGAAAATAATAAATAGAAATTCAATCCCTTCTGCACTACCATATAAAATCCACGTTGTCTGCTTTAAACTGGGTTATAGGGCAGTGTAGACTCATATAATCCAAAGTAGATAATATAGATTATCTGATTTAATAATCTGTATTATATGGCAGTGTAGAAGGAGCCTTAGGGCCCTTCCACACAGCCATATAACCCAGAATTTCTTTTTTGAATTGGGATATCCAAGTCCACGTTGCCATATATTCCAGTTCAAAGCAGAAAATGTGGGATTTTATTCAGCTGTGTGGAAGAGCCCTTCCAGGCAACCCTATATCCCAGAACATCAAGGCAGAAAATCCCACATTATCTGAGTGTGGACTCAGATATCCCAGTTGAAAGCAAATATGGTGGGTTTTTCTGCCTTGATATTCTGGGATATAGGGCTGTGTGGAAGGGACCTTAGGGCCCTTCCACACAGCCATATAACCCAGAATATCAAGGCAGAAAAACCTGCCATATCTGCTTTGAACTGGGATATCTGAGTCCACACTGCCATATATCCCAGTTCAAAGCAAATAATGTTAGATTTTGTATTGTCAAAGGGTTTCATCGCCGGAATCACTGGGTTGTTGTAGGTACCTGACCTCACTACCTCTGAGGATGCTTGCCATAGATGCAGGCAAAAGTCAGGAAAAATGCCTCCAGAACATGGCCATATAGCCCGAAAAAACCTACAACAATCCAATGTTGGATTTTTTAAATTTATTTATTTACTTTATTTGTATACCGCTCTTCTCAGCCCTTGGGCGACTCAGAGCGGTTTACAACAATTTAGGTATACAGGATACAAAATCATTATGCATTTAAAATACAGAAGCATCACAAGTCATTAACATCATTAACATAGGCATCAAAACATCAATACATCAATATAACAAATCCATCCGGTCTAGTCGGTGAAATCAGAATCCAAAACTCATCCGTTATTCCATGTTCCAATAATCAGTTAATCAATCACACTGCTTAGTCGAATGCCTGTTCAAACATCCAGGTCTTTACTTTCCTCCGGAATGCCAGCAAGGAAGGGGCCGATCTAATATCTGCAGGAAGGGCATTCCACAACCGAGGGGCCACCACTGAGAAGGCCCTGTCTCTCATCCCCGCCAGGCGTGCTTGTGAGGCCGGCGGGATTGAGAGCAGGGCCTCCCCGGACGATCTTAATGTCTTAATTTTTATTCTTAATTTTATTCAGCTATGTGGAAGGGGCCTTACTTGTTTTTTGTTTAGGCTGTCAAAATAAGAGAAAATGGCTGACATACGTTTACGTGTGGGTGTTGATGACATAGTTATGCTTTAGCTGGACTGTGTGGTTTATTTGAAATGGAGGACTCCAGTTCATATTGTATGTCTCAAGTCTGTTTTGGTCTAAAGACCATGACATCCAGAACAGGCCCCTCCAAGCTGGTTTTAATCTATAGCTGCTTGTTGATGGTGTGTTGAGTTGATTTTTAATTATTATTAGCAGTACAGGCAGTCCCCAAGTTGGAAACATTCATCTTACAAAGAACTCGTAGTTAAGAACAGAAGTGAGACATGAGAAGCAAGAGAATCTACCACAGGAAGGGAAATTCACTCCTGAAAGACTTCTTATGGGGAAAAGGGGGGGGGTTATATCCAGCCCCTTCCACACAGCTGGATAAAATCCCACATTTTCTGCTTTGAGCTGGAATATATGGGTGTGTGGAAGGCCCTCCAGTCCTTTCTTCTGCAACAAGCCAATTTTTCAAATTATCACAGGACAGAAAGTGAAAAGGGACACTGTACTGTACAGTGGGTCCTTGATATCCACTGGGGTTTGGTATCCCTGGAGGCTCAAGTCCCACTATTTACAATAGCATAGTAGAATGGTGTTCCTTATATAAAATGTTAACATTGAAATCTGCTTTTTGGATTTTCAAAAATGTCATGGATGGTTGAATTACTGGATGCAGAATCTGTGGATATGGAGACCAGTTGAACTTAACAGTCCTGTTCACTGCATACCCTTCTGATCCATTTCAGACCACAGGCACTTTTCATATGTGACAGTGAACTCTTGTTAAGCCAATACATGTATGAGCCTTGGGCTTGCCAGTCCACTCTTTAGTATGTGAAGAGGAGGGGATTGGAAGCCAAGCCCTGAACTGTGTTTGTTTCATAATGCGATCTGTGCTTAGAACTGAAAGCTTCAGATGTACCCTTCAACACTAGGTTTAGAAGCAACACTGAATTGTTAAAATGAAATCAAATCTCCATGTAAACCGCATTGAGTCGCCGTTCCAGGCTGATAAATGCGGTATACAAATAGAGTAAATAAATAAATAAATAAATGTTAACCTGGTGCGGGAAAGAAGATGCATATCCAAGGCTTGCAGAGATTCATTTGTATAATGCTGTATTATATTCAAATGAGGCTGTAGAGTTCAATTAAAGATTTATCTTAACTCAGTTCTATATTGAGTGGTTAGTGATTGTTTCTCTAACTCGTGTCACTTGCCTTAATAGAGGTGCTGGTCAAGAAGTAGGGAGATCATGCATTATCCTGGAATTCAAAGGAAGGAAGATAATGGTAAGCACTGTACTACATTATTTATAAACTGTCTTAGTTTTGGCATGTGTGCTGTATAACTATATTGTGCCTTTGTTTTTCTACTTGATCAGTACTACGGTATTAATAATAAAATAGTTGAGATTATAGGAGTTGATTTTGGAAGGAGCATAATATGTTGGATAGAGTTGCGATGTTATAGTAAACATGCTCATCTATCTGAATAGTATGAAAAGAACAACAGCCTTTTTAGCATTGTGGAGCCATTTTTTTCTTGAATTTCCCCCAGTTTCATAGAAGGCATCTATTTCAGTGCTTTAAATGTTGGTCACAGTTAGCATGGAAAGTTTTAGTGCAGCTCAGTGTATAATGAAGATATTTCCAAAGTGGTGTGCCTTGTGTACTCTACACACCTCCTCTAAATTGAGGTATAACATTTTGGTTATATGTACATACTTATAAAGTGATAAATATATGACTTGCACTTTCCTGGTTTGATAGTAATCAAAATAGGGTACAATAACTGCATGTTACCCTCTCATAATTATACAAAATATTATAATTGGCACATATTTTGATTGATTGATGCATTTTTCAGCTCGATTGTGGAATCCACCCTGGCCTCGAAGGAATGGATGCACTTCCTTACATTGATTTGATAGATCCTGCTGAGATCGATCTCCTCTTGATTAGCCAGTAAGTAATATGCCTTCCCACATGAAGTAGCCAACTATTTGTAAGCATTTATTTGCCTAGCAGCCATAGTTAACATGGAGTTGTATGGTGGAAAGTGAGTGAACTGGCGGAGCCCCTGGTGGCACAAGGGGTTAAACCCCTTGTGCTTGCAGGACTAAAGACCAACAGGTCGGAGGGGAGAGTGTGGATGATCTCCCTCTGTCAGCTCCAGCTCCTCAGGTGGGGACATGAGAGAAGCCTCCCACAAGGATGGTAAAACATCTGGGCGTCCCCTGGGCAGTTCTCTCACACCGGAAGCGGCTTGCAGTTTCTCAAGTTGCTCCTGACACGAAAAAAAAGTGAACTGGCAGAGAAGTGTATCTTTCCTCCTTTGCTATAAACATTAAAAGCAAATGGACTGGCACAGGATGAAATTGCTTTTTTCAACAAAGCATAGCAATACAGTGGAAAACTGGAGGATGAAGGAAGTTCTCCTTTACCATCCTGAAGGCTAGGAATCTTCCTGTGGACTAGTAAACATTATGCGATTATTTTTAATGCTGCAGCTGATTGTTCATTGGTAATGTTTGCACTTTAAAATTTTCAGGATGTGTAACAGCTCTAAATTTGCAGAGATGTTAGGTGGTTGAATGCCTTTACATTAACGTTTGTGAAGATGTCAAATGTTCTAACTGTATGTTGTGATATGAGTCTAAACTCTAATCTCTGTTTCTTTTAGTTTCCACTTAGATCACTGTGGGGCATTGCCCTGGTTTCTACAAAAGACAAGTTTCAAAGGAAGAACCTTCATGACCCATGCTACAAAAGCAATTTATAGATGGCTTCTATCAGATTATGTTAAAGTTAGGTGAGCTGGCCTTCTTAAATTTGGGGAGAAAACAACTTGGGAGTGATAGAATGAAGAATCTTTAACATTTTATCACCTGCATTGTTATACTATCATCTCAAACACAATTTGTGCAAGAGTCTTCCATGTTTTGCACTATCTTCCAAGTGATGTGAGAAACTAGTGGGCATGAGAATAACGTGCTTTTTACTGTTTTGTATAGCAACATCTCTGCGGATGACATGCTGTATACAGAGACAGATTTGGAAGAAAGCATGGACAAAATTGAGACTATCAACTTCCACGAAGTAAAAGAAGTGGCAGGAATCAAGTTCTGGTGTTACCACGCAGGCCATGTTTTGGGAGCAGCTATGTTTATGATTGAAATCGCTGGAGTGAAGGTATTTGCTTAAACACAGTAAAGTAGCTCAAATAAACTTCTTATTTTCAAGAAGTTTTTGGTATTAGTCTGCCACTTCTAGGGGAAAAATAAGGGGAATTTATTTCTATCCTAATTTGTACTGCATCAATCCACCGATATTGCATACGTCTTTGGTTTTAGAAGGTAATAGGCAGTGACCTTCAGTACTGGAGTCACATGTTTGAAAGTACAGCTTGCTGATGTAGGTTTCATCTTCAGCGCTTATCTATTAATCTGACAAGATCTTTGGATGAACCAATAAGTATCAACCAAAGTTTTAGTAATCTGCCGTATTGTAATTACAGTGTGAATTCTTTGTTTTTTCTGTCAAAGCTGTTATACACAGGTGATTTCTCACGACAAGAAGACAGGCATTTGATGGCAGCTGAGATTCCTAATATTAAACCTGACATTCTTATCATTGTAAGTTTCTTTTCTTGCTATAATTTGAAATTAATATAATGCATAAATTATGTGCATTCCTTGTCACTTCAGTCATCTCTTTTACATACTGTAAAATTTACAGTTAAAATGTACATGTATATCCCTCTTTTGAACAGCTTAAAGTAGATTACAAGAAAATAAATTTTCAGACAAATAAATGATCAAATAAATAATAGACCCAGATAAATGATCAAATAAATAATAGACCCAGATAGTTCTCCATATTCATAGATTCTGTATTCACCAATTTAACCATCCAATGCTTGATTTTGCCTTTTTATTTAAAGGACACCATTTTATTACTCCATTGTATATGATGGAATTTGAGCACCTTCAGAATTTTGGATTTGCAGATGGTTCTGAAACCAAGTCCCAGCAGATGCCAAGGGCCTAATATACATAATTTATGTGAAGAGTAATAAATTATACCAAAATTATCAAATCTTGGCCGGAATAAATAAAAATAAATAAATCCTCCTAAAAATCAGCAAAAAGAGGGCTACTTTTAAAGGTTTAATATGTATTAATTTTAATTTTAATTGAATGTTTATTGGAATTGTATGTTGCTCTAAGGCATTGAATAATTTCCTATATGTAACCTGCCTTGAGCCCCCTTCAGGGTTGAGAAAGCCGGCGTATAAATAGGGTAAATAAATAAATAAACAAACAGGGCATATACCATATATTTACAGTTGTCAGGTGAATGCTGTTTAATGTCTGTTATAATACAGTCAAATGTAAACTTTCCAATTCTCTAAAGTTTGCCTGAACAACAGCATGTGTCATACTACTCCAGTCACAATATTTTTTCTTGTTTTATGATAGATATTACACATATTGTATGCAGAAATGTCATGGTTACAATTAGAATGAAATACTATGTGGTGAAAACAAATTACAAGAATTTTCCTGGGGAAACTTGTGGGGCAGGATTTGCTTTCATACTGGTAGATCATGTTTAATCTTCAAGAAATAATCATACTTATGGTGTAATACTGCTCTAGTATAATCAAAAGAGCACAACCTTCTTTGTCCCTCACTTCTTTTAATTGTGTGAATTGTTTCCTTAGGAATCCACCTATGGGACACACATCCATGAGAAACGGGAAGAGAGAGAGGCACGATTCTGTAACACTGTGCATGATATTGTAAACAGAGGAGGTAGAGGTCTTATTCCTGTATTTGCCTTGGGAAGAGCTCAAGAATTGCTTTTGATATTAGGTATGTTGTCCAACACTGCTTTTTAAGTTAACATGATAGTTATACTTTTTGTGTACATGTTGTCACTATTTGTATATTTATAGTAATGTGTTTTAATATATGCTTTTTATTGTATGTATTTCTGATTATGTGTTTCAACTTTGTTGTGCCCCGCCTTGAGTTGTGACTTCCTATATTATAAAACTTTGATGTGTCCTACAGAACACTTTTCAGAACTAAGGTTATTTGTTTCTTTATACTGTTTACCTACAGGCTTGCACATATTAATTCTCGTTTTTAAACATTTCTTATCTAGATGAATACTGGCAAAATCACCCTGAGCTACACGAAATACCAATCTACTATGCCTCCTCTCTGGCAAAGAAATGTATGGCCGTTTACCAGACGTATGTCAATGCCATGAATGATAAAATCCGCAAACAAATCAACATCAACAACCCATTTGTATTCAAGCACATTAGTAATCTGAAGGTGTGTGTAAATAAAGGATATGTTAATATAATGCTGTATAAAACGATGATACATTCTAATTTTAAAACTAGACATTTAACTTTTTCAGAAAGTTTCAGTTTCAGTTTCTAATGAAATTAGACTGTACGTGATAATGCGCACCCATCCTCAGAATATCTCTTCTTTCTTATTCATTATACTAGAAGCAACAGACAAAAATTGTCTTTGAATTCTGCCCTAATCCATTTATTCATAAGCACCACAGTGCTTGAAGGTTACTTTCTTTTGCTGAAAGAGAACTGGAGGTGGCAGAAAGTGTGTGTGTGTGTGTGTGTGTGTGTGTGTGTGTGTGTGTGTCTGTGTGTGTGTATAACCCCTTCCTCACAACTGAGGAGTGTTGAGATTGTGTTGGGGTGATAGCTGCCATTTTTAAGGAATTCTGAATTGTGTCCTTTCCAGCAAGCACCACCCAAGAGAAAAAAGGGGTGCTATTTTATTTCACAATCAATTTGCAGTAAGCATGGTACATGAGAAAGAAATGCAAACACTGCCTTTGCTGTAAGATCACACATGTCTCAAGGCAGTCCCATTTTCAGCTGAGGCTGTTCCATCTCAAAAGCATGTGTATTAACTGCCTTTCAATCACTTTACACAGAGTAATAGACCTGGTTGTTGTTGTTGTTTCATATGGATGAGGGGTATTACAAAATGAATCTATTGGCTGTCAGTCAAATTCCCTCTAATTTTGAGTTTATTGACATCAGCAATTTACTGATTTTCCAGCAGCCCATCCTCTGTTTTCCAGAGAATAGCCCTAAGCATCCTTTCAATGTTCCCATCTGACCTTCCGTCTTGATGTCAGAACCCTGCAGAAATATTTGGGACTATGTCTTTTATAAGTCTTTTATAAACAAAGATGGCTGCAGCCTTTTGGTCTATCAGAGCTGGCATAATGATCCACGCAGAAGCATTTAACTTTAATGCTGACATTATAAATATTTGTGCTCTCTGCTTTCTAGAGTATGGATCATTTTGATGACATTGGCCCCAGTGTTGTAATGGCTTCCCCTGGGATGATGCAGAGCGGTTTGTCCAGGGAACTGTTTGAAAGCTGGTGCACTGACAAGAGAAATGGGGTCATCATAGCTGGATATTGTGTGGAAGGAACACTTGCCAAGGTGAGGTCTTCTTTTACTGCTCTGAGATTTTAAGGTAAAAGACGGGTTGCTTCAGATACCGGTATATCAAGTATAAGCCGATCCAAATATAAGCTGAGACACCTAATTGTATCACACAAAATTGGGAAAATGTATTGACTCGAGTATAAGCCATGCAGCAGTTACTGGTAAATTTCAAAATAAAAATAGATACCCATAAAATTACATTGAGGCATCAGTAGATTAAATGTTTTTGAATATTTAAAACTCGGCTTATACTTGAGTATATACAGTACTGAGTTAATTGGTGATTTTATGAGACTTGACCATAATCTGGATCAATCTGTTCTCCTGTTAAACAGCTTTGAATGTTTTTTTTCTATATGCTTAACAGTTATTCAAAGATTGTTTTCATATATATCAGACATAGAAAGTAGCTAGACTTTCCTAGTTGCTAACAGAATACAAAATATAAGCATTTCTCATATCCTTTCACTCAGTTATTAAGATTTGGCTTATAGGTTGGGTTGCCATCAAATGAGAAAGGATTGGTATGTCATATTTGTGTGTGCATTCCCTCATTTTTGTACTCCCCCACCCAATAATGATGTATTATTGAAATTGGTGTTTTTGTGGCAATGTTGCAGCACATTATGTCTGAACCAGAAGAAATTACCACTATGTCTGGGCAGAAGCTCCCACTGAAGATGTCCGTGGACTACATTTCTTTCTCTGCTCATACGGATTACCAGCAAACCAGCGAGTTTATTCGGGCATTGAAACCTCCACATGTGGTGTGTATGTCTGGGTTTCACCCCCTAACAAGTATTGCACTCAGAATAATAAATGTAAAACATGAGGTTGGAGGAGTGCCTGAATATTACTGATTATTAAAACTTGAAAAGGGAAATGAGTAGCTAAAAGAGTAGAAAATTAGTGGCAGATGAGGATACAGTCTACAGCAGGAAACAATATATTTAATGCTGCGGAGAGCAAAAAGACCCCTTTATTCTGTTTCCTTTCTTCTTCATATCCCATCTTTGCTGTCCTCATAATCAGTACAGATTTAATATCTCTTATCCCAAATGTTTAGGACTAGAGAGGTTTTGGATTTAGGATTTTTGGGATGCTTGTCTTTTGCGTATTCATTCAGCATGGGATATCTTGGAGCTAGGACCCAAGTCTAAAAAGAAAATGAACCTATATTTCGTATACTCCTTATACACACAGCCTGAACATAATTTTGGGTAACATTTTAAATAATTTTGTGTATGAAACAGAGTTTGTGTAAATAGAACTATCCTAAAGCAAAGATGACTTTATCTCAGTGACACATGCAGACAATTTTTGGAATATTTTGGATTCAGGATGCTCAACCTGTATCGTTTTTATTTTTTTTTAGATTTTGGTGCATGGTGAGCAGAACGAAATGGCCAGGTTGAAAGCTGCGCTGATACGTGAATATGAGGATAATGATGAAGTTCATATAGAGGTCCATAATCCTAGAAATACCGAGGCTGTGACATTAAACTTCAGAGGAGAAAAGCTGGCCAAGGTAAAAACAAACTTTTTCCCTACTATGGAAAGTATACCACATTTGCCTCATGGCACAATCTTCTTTTGCCCACAAAATATATCATTAAAACAATTTTATAAACCTTTTGTCAATGGGAAATAGAAAAACTATTGTGCAATTAATACAATGCAATCATCTTGTGGCTAGGAAAAATAGTATAGCTAAGAGACAGGTCTCAAAATGTTTCAGAGTGTCCCTTTAGATAGGGCAGAGTAACAACTGTTTTAATCTTCTTTTTAAAATGAACTTCCACCCTCATGTATACATGCATATGTACATAACAAATACCTAAAAATACATAGGCATATATACATCCACAAAGAAAGAGCCTGCACGAAGACTGAGTATATACAATTGGGCATCCCCTGGGCAACGTTTCTTGTAAATGGCTAATCTTTCCAACCCCAAAGCATTGCTTTTTATGCATAAAAAATCACAACAAACATTTACAGTGCCGTTATAACTCAGTCAACAAAGTATATGCCTTCCTGTGAGTGCTCTTAGCCATAATAGGGAGGGAATGGGAATTAGCGATTTTGAAAATGTTAAGGAGAATAGAGGGACCACTAGTAAAATATTATCACCTGAGGTTGACAGTGAAACATCCACTTTAAAAATTGTGATTTTGAGTGAGAAAGGAAAATGGAATGCACTTTCAAATAGTGCTGGGTAGTTCACAAGTACATGTATGTCATCTTTTCAGGTTACTGTGTGCCTTCACTTGGAAAAGTTAGTGTGTTTACCTAGTTGAGATGCTTGAATCATTGAATGATTTGACTTCTACAGTTTCATTTTTATTCCTTCTACCTTCCTGAAATCTTTTCACTTGTGTTTTGGTTTTTCTTTTTCGCAGGTTATGGGTTCTCTAGCAGATAAGAAACCAGAACAAGGGGAGAGAGTTTCAGGAATACTAGTTAAAAGAAATTTTAACTATCACATACTTTCTCCGTGTGATCTTTCCAGTAAGTAAAAAAACCCCTAAGAGTATTATAAGAATTGTTAAGGATCGGTGTTCTGGCCAGATCTGAATGCTCAGATTTTTTGATCAGTTGAATTTATTTATTTATTTATTTATTTATTTATTTATTTATTTATTTATTTCATGCATTTCTACCCCGCCCTTCTCCCCCGTAAGGGGGACTCAATGTTCTGTGACCCTCCAAAGCTGGTTTAATATAGTCTAAAAGGGGCTGCAGTAGCACAGCGGTTAAAGCCGCTATCTGCTGACTGGAGGGTCAACAGTTCAAAGCCGCGAGTTGGGGTGAGCTCCCAACTGTCAGTCCTAGCTTCTGCCAACCTAGCAGTTCGAAAGCATGCAAAGCGAGTAGTTCAATAGGTACTGCCTCAACGGGAAAGTAAAATGGCGCCCCATGCAGACATGCCGGCAAAAAGATTGGATATGTCTATGGACAGCAGACTCCTTTGGCATGGAAAATGAAACGAGCACCTTCCCGTAACTGGAAGTTGAGCATCACCTCCAGATGCCAGAGATGGAAAAAGGGGAAGGCCATTACCTTATCTGTGTATTGTATGTCATTGTTCATGTAAAAAGACATTGAATGTTTGCCTTGTATGTGTTCTGTAATCCGCTCTTGAGTTCCTTCAGGGAGATAAAGCAGAATATAAACAAAGTGTATTATTATTATTATTATTATTATTATTATTATTATTATTATTATTGTCTTCCTATGGAACTTTTGCTTTATTAAAAATATCCCTGATAAAGTAATTTATAAATTGATAATTGGTATATATATAAAGAATATATGGAATGGCAACATGGCCGCAGACAGTGTAAAGCCCTTGTCTTCAGGCCCCCTTTCTTAAATAGTACAGAAATGTAAGGTACACAAAATACTCTGTACTGAGCTTGCAATATATAGGGGAAAACAGGGAAACATTACAAAGGGAAGGCTGGATCGGCCATTTAAAAGTTGAGGGTTTTTTATTCCATTTTGAATTTTGCAAAACATACTTCTTGCAGAGACAAGTGGGGATGGCTCATACTAGCATTAAATTTTTAAAAAATGATTTTTAAAAACAAATTAATTAATATTCCATCCCATTTTGAGAGAGAATTCTACAATTAGTATCAATGGTGTCCTTGGAACAATACATAAATAAAAGAATGAATGAATACACACACACACATATTTAAAAAATGAAAGGTACGGAAAATAAATTCATAATTAGCCACATTTCTGCACCAGATTCTGCATTTTGTTTTTCATTGTCCGCAGGTTACACAGATCTTGCCATGAGCACTGTGACACAGACGCAAGCTGTCCCATATACAGGCTCATTCAGTCTTCTTTATTACCACCTACAAAAATTAACAGGTATGTACCTGAAAAGAAATACTTGAAATTCCTTGAAGTGTTTCCACCTTCCTCACTCATCAAGTTATAACATAATAGCATGGTTTTGCCTTTCGTATCAAAACAACTAAAGGAAGATATATTATTATTATTTATTTATGTACTGTATTTGTATACCGCCTTTCTCAACCAGTCGGTAACTCAGAGATGTTCTGGATCTGTTCTAGGAAGTTGTGGCAAGGTCATTGAAATATGCTTTATACAGAGTCAGGGCATTCATAGGTCTGTATAGGCCAATATTATTGACTCTGTCAGCAGCATCTTTCCAGGATGTCCTATTCTTCTTTGGAAACTCATTGTATCTGCTAGTGGTCTTCCATTGAAGTACTAACCAGCTTAGATGCAACGTAGCTTTCAAATTCTAGGAAAATGGGCTGTTTTAGGCATGATACAATGGCATTGTGCACTGTGCAGTCGCACCCAAACTACTTTAAATGCCTCTTTAGCATTAATGTGTCCTAACTTTCTGTCAGCTTGGGGGATACTTGATTCCCTTCGTGTTTGAGCAAAGAACCCCACAGAATCAATGTCCACGCTATTGCTTTCATGAAATGGTAACAATTTATTAACTGGTCTTGGGCCTATCTCCACCCAAGCACTAACTTGATTTCCCCACAGCAAAGTCCATACTTAAAATTTGAAGGGTAACTGAAGCTGCCAGTCGTGGATGATTACTGAGAAGTTTTCCTTGCTCACTGTCTCTGGTATAGGGGCCTCTGGAGCACACAATGCCCAAGATGTTAATTAGTTATTGGTTAACTAATTATTGGTTGAAATTGATTTGAAATAGCTTATCCAAGCCTGGATCTCGCTGGGAGCAACTGTAGACATGTCTTGCATTCAGGATTCCCTGGTGGTAATAACTCTGATCTAAATGGCTCCCTTTCCTATGGCAAAGGGGCGGGCAAACTTTACTGATGCAGACCCGAAAGGGTTTTCTTAAACTTCACCCTCATAAATTAACATAAAAGTGACTACTCTAAAACTGTGGGTGACAAAAGGACTTGGGACTTATACAGTTCCAGAACATATACTTTCAGGCATAAAAAAGTTTTAGAGTGATATTTACTTTAAAAATGTTTTTGAACACAAAGTATTCTTTACATTTGACTTGATAATATTTTGCTATTTTAAGGTGACATAAAAGAAATAGAAGTTCAGGAAAAGTCAGCCCTGAAAGTTTTTAAAAACATCACTGTCATCCAGGAGCCTGGCATGGTGGTGCTTGAGGTGAGGATGGAATAACAGTTCCTTTTTCATGATTCAAATATCTTGGGAGTGGCTTTGATAGAGAATTAAATTAGGAATGGTTAGTTATCTATAGAGAGCCAGTGTGTGTTGTGGTTTGAGCGTTGGAATAGGGCTGTGATGTTCAAATATCTGTGTTAGAGAAATGCAACTTAGTGGCCCTTGGGCAAGTAACACTTTCTTAGCCTCAGAAGAAGGCAAAGGCAGCCCCCTTCTGGACAAATCTTGCCAAGAAAACCCCATGGTTGGTTTACCTTGGGATCACTTTCATTTGGAAGACACACAGCCGGAGCTATTTATTTATTTTATATAACAGGTTGCATTTTTATTTAATTTTATTTGTTAAGACATAATTTGTTTTTACATGTTGGGTTGTCAATTTTCATTATTATGGGTGTATTGTTGTGTTCAGGCATTGAATGTTTGCCTTTTATGTTTGGAATCCACCCCGAGTCCTTCTGGGGAGATAAGGAGAAATATAAATAAAATTGTATTAAATTATTATTATTATTATTATTATTATTATTATTATTATTATTATTATTATTTCAAAACAATTATACAGGGCCTTTAAGAACCAGCCCATAAAATGTGTGACAGCAAGTCACATATAATAAAAAGGTAATGGTTTCCCCTTGAAATTAAGTCCAGTTGTGCCCGACTCTCGTGGTGGTGCTCATCTTCATGTCTAAGCCAAAGTCCATAGACACCTCTAAGGTCATGTGGCCAGCATGACTGCATGGAGTGCCGTTGCCTTCCCCCAGAAGCAGTACCTATTGATCCACTCATATTTGCATGTTTTTGAGCTGCTAGGTTGGCAGAAGATGGGGCTACCAGTGGGAGCTCATCTTGCTCCTCAGATTCGAACCGGTGACCTTTCGGTCAGCAAGTTCAGTAGCTCAGCGTGTTAACCCGCTGCACTACCACAGGCTCCATCACATATGATAGAAACATTATAAAATATGATGAGTAACAGGACTGAAGAATGAGAGGGACAGAATGCAAGACCAGAATGATAGGATATAATTAGAATAAACTATTCAAGAGGGACATGTGTTCACTTTTTGTGGAAAGGCCAAAAAGAACAAAGGAAGCTTTTCAGTGGAGCAGTGTCCACTAGTTCGGAGGCAGTTTTAAATGAGGATTTCCCTGTAGTCCAGAATTTAACACTTTTTTGTCCTTGAATTTTAACCCTTTCAGTGGGTAGCAAATCCTGCTAACGATATGTATGCAGACACCGTAACCACAGTGATACTGGAAATACAATCAAATCCCAAAATTCATAAAGGTATTTGCCTTTCTGTTTATATGGGAATACAGTTTGTGTGTGCAGTGTTGTGAAACTATGGGGCCCAGAACTATATGTAATATTGTGTTGCTCAGAAATCTGAATCCTGAGGCACAGTGATACAAATGTCAAGTTTTGCAAGGCTTGCATATTAGTTGATACACTTGAACGTTCACTGATTTTAGATAATTTCAGTCTAAGAAAATGTTATTAATCCAGATTCTGTATATATCGGAATTGTTCAGGGTGTAAAATTCCAAGAACTTAATCTTCATAACAGAAAAGAAGGTGGAAGTTTGTATACATATGCTTAATACCTAATGAAGTATTAGTGATTGCTACAGTTTTAATTGTTCTGCTTTTAAACTCCCATTTAAAGTAAATTCACTTTTTCTTTAAAATTAGAGCTCTCTACAGTGCTAGCAGCTCACTCTGTGTCTTGCCAAAACTACGGTGATCTTAAAATCAACCTACTTTAAAAAATAAATTAATGAATTAAAGCATAAGTCTGAACTGACGATTTACTGCTACTGATATTTACTTCATTCAATGACATATGGGAAGATTTACAGGAACTCTGGGAAATACACCCTTATTTTTCTTGATATTTAAGATCTGATACCAGCTGCATACTCCCAAATAACCGTGGAATAAAAATGTTAAATGTGTATTTTCAGCTGTGATACACAAAATTCCTAAAAAAGAAGAAACAGAAGCTTATCACAAGAAAATGGAGATCATGCTTCAGTAAGTTTTGGTACTATATTATCTGAGTGAAAAGGCTGTCGATATGAATGTGTAGCTTAAGTGATCCATCTCACAACCCACAAAACCAATACGAAAAAGTCTGTGGTCTTGGCTTCTCTGAATGGTGTGCAGAAGAAGCAAAACAGTGGGATTCTGTTGCCTTTTGAAGAAAGGGACAGAGTTGCAGAAATCAATGTGTTGTTGAAGGCTTTCATGGCCGGAATCACTGGGTTGCTGTGAGTTTTCTGGGCTGCATGGCCATGTTCTAGAAGCATTCTCTCTTGACGCTCGCCCACATTTGTGGCAGGGATCCTCAGAGGTTGTGAGGTCTGTTGGAAACTAGGCAAGAGAGGTTGATATATCTGTGGAATAATGTCCAGGACTGGAGAAAGTACTCTTGTCTGCTGAGGCAAGTGTGAATGTTGCAGTTGGCCAGCTTGACTACCATTGAATGGCCTTGCATCTTCAAAGCCTGGCTGGTTGCTGCCCAGGGGAATCCTTTGTTCGGAGGTGTTAGATCGGCCTGATTGATTCTTGTCTAGAATTCTCCTGTTTTTTTAGTGTTATCTTGATTTAAGTGTTTTTTTAATCCTGGTAGCCAGATTTTGTTCATTTTCATGGTTTCCTTCTTTCTGTTGAAATTGTCCACATTCCAGACAAGAATCCATCAAGCCCAGCTAATCACCTCCCAACAAAGGATTCCCCCAGGCAGGAATCAGCTAGGCTTTGAAGCTGCAAGGCCATTAAATGCTAATCAAGATGGCCAATTGCAACATTCACATTTGCCTCCATCAGACAAGAGTTCTTTCCACACCCTAGACATTCCAGAGATAATATAAAACACACTTTCCTAGTTTCCAACAGACCCCTCAACCTCTGAGGTTGCCTGCCATAGATGTGGGCAAAACATCAGGAGATAATCCTTCTGGAACAGGGCCATGCAGCCCGGAAAACTCTTTGCAGAAATCATTGCCGCTCAGAAACAAAGTGGCAGCAGAAGGCGGAGGAGTATTATTTTCAGTATGGATTTTCTAGCAATGTCTAATAAGACTTCCTTTCAGAATAATGACACACATTGTGCTAGTATTCCCAACTCACATTTTGCTGAGTGAAGAGGAGCCAATACATTTGGCCCTTTCCTATTAAATCATGAGTCCTAAAATACTTAACTGCATCCCTTTTCCTAGGTTTACCCTTTTCACTTTGTTCTTTAAAGCCATCCAGGATATGAAATCACTTTTTTCTGTAGAAGCACAGCAAACCTTGCCACAAGCTTCACCTGCAGATATGAGATTGCACTAACAATCAACACTTTTTGAACTAAATTTTCTTTTCATTTTTTTTGTATTGGAGATTCAGTATATCCATGAGATTTATCTCTGTGTTAACTCACTACTGGCCAATAGAATGAGCGGTCTACTCTAATTGGGACTAACCAGCATTATGCCATCTTTTTGAGTATTTTAAAATACTTAATAAAGCTGAGCAAATTTGAGTCTTTGAACTGTAATAAAGTTTTGATTGATTGATTGTATTGTGATACAGCCGTCCCTCCACATTTGTGGTTTTGACTTCTCTCATGTCCCTGCATGGGGGGCGGGAGCTGACAGAGGGAGCTCAACCCTCTCTCTCCAGATTCGAACGGCTGACCTCTCGGTCAGCAATCCTGCCAGCATAAGGGTTTAACCCATTGTGCCACTGGGGGCTCCATGTAATATTAGGTTACCTAAACAGAAAATGCTGTAAGTATATGAATCTGTATCTTGCTATTCTTCATTTATTTGCAGAGACATATTTGGAGAAGACTGTGTAAGCGCAAAGAAGGATAACATACTGAGCATCACTGTGGATGGAAAAACAGCCAATCTTTCATTGGATACACGGGTATTTCCAGCTAAATTTGATACTGGTTTGACTTGGGGTTTTTTTAGCAGTCTCATATAGCTCTGACATGCTCATCCAAGAATAATTCAATTGGTTTAGCATTGTTTATGTTACTTAAAGCTTCTAATGGACCTCACAATCTGGATGTTTACATGAAAGGCAAAACTTGAACGGAAAAAAAAGAATGAATCTGATCATTTGCTTATGAAAAAAATACAAAGAAATCTAGATTGGTATTTGCTTTAGTGTTTGTCACATCACAAGAGAGCCAGAGTGGTTTCAGTGTTGGGATTATGACGAGACCAGGATTCAGATTCTCACTTGGGCATGAAAACCCGCTGGATGAACTTGAGCAAGTCACACTCAAGAAATTTCACCAAGAAACCCCCAGGATCTGTTTGCCTTAGGGTTGCCATACGTGTAGAACAACTAGAAGGCTCACAACAACAAAAACGAGTTTAGGATTTCATATCTATAGACATTACAACCTTGTAGCAATTGTGAAAGTGCCCCTGGCAAAAAAACACCAAAAAAAACCTCCTTTTTCAGCAACACAGAGCAGAATGATGATGTCTCCAACCCTCTCCCTGAAGTCTAGTAGTAGCTGATGGTCACTGTTGTGTATTTAGAAATCCTTCTGTTGCAGAGGATTGCATTATTGAATAGGGCTCCATCACTGAAATTGTATCATGGTATGGAACCCAGCTGCAATTCCCTATCCAAAGAAACAACCATGATTAATTGGCGACCAGGATGGTCCTGTGTTATATTATAATCTCAAAATATCAGACTGCAGCACCACAAATGTGCCAGAAAAGACTGTATGTTTGTGCAAAGAGCCTTGGGCATCACAGAGGTTATTTTGTTAAATTTGTTGTTGAAGGCTTTCATGGCTGGAGTCACTGGGTTGTTGTAGGTTTTTCGGGCTGTATGGCCATGTTCTAGAAGCATTCTCTCCTCCTAGGAGAGAATTCTTCTAGAACATGGCCATATAGCCTGAAAAACACAATTGTCATGTAATTTTGCAAACTGCTTTAACTTCAAAATTGCATCAAAGGGGTGGGAGAGGGGTAGGACTCATAGGACTTGTGATAGCAACTTCTTGGATGGGGGATTTCTTCACTCAAAATGTCTCTCTGCCCAATATGGAGATTTGGGAAAGTGACACTTTTGCTGTGTTTTCCATTCTGGCCGGCTTTAGGCCTTACTTATACCAAGATGTAACTATACTTCTTGGGCTTAATGGCCCGCAGGCAACCAAAAACATGGCAAAAGTGACATCCTCACTGTCTTTTGTGTATTTTCTTAAAGAGCTAAATGCCTTCAAAGTATGAAATGCAGTTTGATCTTGGAAGTTAAGCACGATCAGCCCTGGTTAATATTCAGATGGGTGACTGCAAACAACTACCAGGTGCCGTAAGCTAAATTTCAAAGGATAGAACTAGAAAAACATCTCTTATTCTGTACCTCAGGAAATTCATGGGGCCAATATACAACTTGAAGGCACATAACAATAAAATGGGGGGCAGATCCAGGGAAATGGTTGGTTTCCCATCCAATTTTAAATGAGTTTTAAGCTTTCTGTTTTTAAGCAGCATGAATGTGAGAAGTTAAAACACTCTCTGTCTTTCTTTCTTTTTCTCTTTTGTTAGACTGTTGATCATGAACCAGGATGTGAAGATGACGATGAAACTCTTCGGGAAATGGTGGAGTTAGCAGCACAAAGACTCTATGATGCCATCATTCCTTTACAATAAATGGAGTGAACACTGTATATATTGGGGACCATGGGGAGGGGATTACTATTTACTTTACCATCATTGTTTTGTTTGTTTGTTTTTTTAAAAAAAAATAAATGTCCTTAAAGAAAGATGCTTTGTCCCCTAAATAGTGTTGTACAGTCAGATAGAGTGATGTTGTTGGAAGCATTGAGCTGTTCAGAATACATTTGTTTTTTTGTTGTTTTTTTAAATAATTTTTTATTGATTTATCACATTTATTACATACTATTGCATTTTGTACATCAGCCTCTTTAACATGTTGTTTAGTTGTTTTGCTTTGACATTTCCCCCCCTTTTCTCTTTTTTTTCCTTTTTTATCACCACAGTGCTCCCCTCCACCCGTCTCAAGCCACAATTCTTACATTTAATCTGTCCAAAATTTCATTTCTTCTTGTGACGGTAATTTTCCTTCCTTATTTTTTAATCCATTTACCACAAATCTTCCCCATACAGCATCAAAATCACTTTGTTTCCATATACCTTTTTTAACCTTTAATATACATGTCAATTTATCATTTATTGCTATTTTCCATGCTTCCTTATACCACTCCTCTATTTGTATATTCATTTTTTTCCAATTCCTTGCTATGAGCAGTCTTGCTATAGTTAGTAAGTTTGTTATCGCTTCTTTATCCTCCTTTTTCAATTGCTTATTGTTATATAATGATAGTAAGGCTATACTAGGACTTTTATCTATTTTTATATTCATTATTATTTCTATTTCTCTAAATACTTTCTCCCAAAAATTATTTACATGTTTACATTGCCACCACATGTGTATATATGTTCCTGGTTCTTGACACCCTCTCCAACAATTTATTGAGTTATTTTTATTCATATATGCTATTCTTACCGGTGTCAAGTACCACTTCCATATTAACTTGTAATAATTTTCTTTAACTCGTATCGATAAATTTTTTAAATGTCTTTGTCCCCATAATTGTTGCCACTCTATTTCACTTATTTTTATCCCTAAATCCTCTTCCCAAATCTCTTTAAGGGTGCACTTTTTTGTTTTTTCATCCTTCATTTCAATTAGTATCTTATAAATTTTGCTAATTATACCTCTCAAGTTTTCGTGTTCTTCTACAGCCCTTCCCTTCTGTATTATTTGTTCGAATTGATTGAGTTGGCTTCCACTTCTATTATTTTTTTCCAGTTTATTAACCATTGTTCTAATTGTATACAATGAAACCATGACAATTTTATTTCTTTAAACTCTTCCAACATCATTTCCCTCTTCATTTCCACCTTCATCCAATCCCCTATCCTATCTAAGTTTATTTCCCTTACCTTTTTATCCATTACTTTTTTAAAATTTTTTGGGAACTTCTTTTCCATCACTATTGGGGTTATAATTGATCCCTCCTTTATTAACCTCCCCTTATATTTATTCCATACTTTCAGTATGTTGCTCAGCATTGGGTTTCTAATTTCCTCATTTCTTTTCTAGTAAACTGTTTAAAAAATATATTCCAAGTTTCATCTTCCACTTTTCCTGAATCATTACTAAGCCAATCTATTCCCTCTTTTTTAACCATTCCTTCTATAACCAAACTTAATCTACTTGCTTCATAATATTTTTTTATATTAGGTAGTGCTAGTCCACCCTCCTTTTGCGATCTATACCATAACTGTTTATTTAGTCTGTTTCTTTTACTTCCATTACAGTACTTATTAATCATTTGTTGCCATCTAGTTAGTTCTTCTTCTGTAATTTGAAGTGGTAGCATCCTAAATATAAAATTTATTTTTGGAAGTATTTTCATTTTTACTAATGCTATTCTTCCAAACCAGGATAAGCGTATACCTTCGTACTCTATTAACTTTTTCTGGACTTCTTTCCTTAATGTTACTACATTTACTTCCTCTATCTCTTTTAAATCCTTAGTTATTATTACTCCCAAGTATTTTAATTTATTCTTAATTCTTATTCCCATTTTGCTCTGTTCTATAAAATCTTTTTCTTCTTCTCTTGTATAATTAAGTAGCATCATTTCTGACTTGTTCCAATTAACTTGTAAACCTGTTGCTTTCCCAAATATCTCCAAATGTTCTTTTATTCTATCCATTTTCTCCACTATATTTTCTATAAATAACAATGTATCGTCAGCGAATAAGCTCACCTTCTGTTTCTCCTTTTTTCCTAACCCTTCTAAATTTTTATCATTCCTTATGTTATTAGCAAACAGTTCTATCACCATAGCAAATAGTATCGGAGACAAAGGGCACCCTTGTCTGGTTCCTCTAGTCACTTTTATTTCGTTTGTCACTCCGTCATTTATAGTTACCAGTGCTGAGTTCCTTGAGTAAAATTGTTTTAGTACTCCTTTTATTCTATTTCCCATTCCAAATTTATTCAATATTTACCTTAATGTCTCCCATTCCACACAATCGAACGCTTTAAAAATATCTAATGATAATATCCCTGCTTTTTCCTTCCCCTCTTTAGCCCAATGAATTTTATTTAATACTCTCCCTATCAAATTTGACATTTGTCTTCCTTTTATAAACCCGCACTGATCTTCTTTTATGTACTTATACATACATTTATTCATTCTATTGGCTATTATCGCGGACAATATCTTTGCATCCTGATTAATTAATGATATGGGCCTATATGACCCTGGGTCTGTTAAGTCTTTATCAGGTTTAGGTATTAATATTATTAATGATCTCCTCCATGATTCGGGTATTTTATCTCCCTTCATTATTCCATTATACAATTCTAATAATTTTGGGGTTAAAACTTCTCTAAAGCTTTTATAATATTCTGTCCCTAGACCATCCAAGCCCGGAGCTTTCCCTACTTTTAATTTCTTAATAACTTCCTCTATTTCTTTTTTCTTAATAGGTTGTTCCAGTAACTCTTTATCTTTCTCCTCCAGCTTACTCTCCCAATTTTCCTCCACATATTTCCTAATTGCCTCTATGGGGCTTGCTTTGGTTTGATATAGTTCTTTATATTATAAAATTCCTCAAATACTTTCAATTTTTCTTTCATAGCTCTACATAATTTACCTGTTTTATCTTTTATCATGTTTATCGTTCCTTCCATTTTCTTTTTCTGTGTTGATTTGGCTAGGATCTTTGAATTCCTATCACTAAACTCAAAATATTCCCTCCTTAAATAAATTAAATTTTCTTGTACTTCGTCTATTTCCATTTTATCCAATTCCTCTTTTTTTGCTCTTAACCTAGCATAAATTCGTGTATCTCTCTTTATTACATATGCTTTTTCAATCTCTTCTATTTCTCTTTCTAAATTCCTTTTCCTTTCTTCTTGCCTTCTCTTTAAATTAATTGTCTCTTTTATACATAACCCTCTGGTCACTGCTTTCATAGTGTCCCATAGAACTCCTTTTGTCACCCCCTTTTCGTTGAAGCCCCATATTTCTTGCCATTCTGCTTGCACTTTATCTACTATCTCTTTATGATTTAGTATTCTTGTGTTTAACCTCCACCTTTTCATTTCATCATAATCACATTTCAACGCAATCTCAATTGAAACCAAAGCGTGATCCGAAATCTTAATCATACCTATATCAGCATTTAGCACTTTACTTGTCATATTTTTGGAGACAAAATATAATCAATTCTTGTATACACCTTATGTACTGATGAATAATATGTATATCTACTTTCATTCCCTTTTACCAATCTCCACACATCCTTTAATTGCCATTTATTCATTACTCTGCTTAATTCCGTTGTTTCAATGTTTCTAGCTTTTGATGCTATCGTAGTTTTATCCTTCTTTAAATCCATACAGCAATTACAATCTCCTCCAAATATTACATTTTGTTGATGGTAATTCTCTATTTGCTCTAACACTTTTTCATAAAATTCTTGCTGTTTCACATTTGGTGCGTATACATTTACTAATACATATTTTTCCTCCCCTATTTCCCCATATATTATTATATATCTTCCCTCTTCATCCTTCAATACCTTGTTTATGACAAAATTACATTTCTTTGCTATTATTATTGCTACTCCTCTTGACTTTGATGTCCCAAAAGATGTTTCGTAGTTCCTTATCCAGCTCGACTTTAACTCATTTGAGCCCCGCTTATTTTGATGTGTTTCCTGTAGGAAGATGGCGTCCGCCGCGTCCTTCTTCAGTAG